TATGGTCAATTTGAAAGGCAGATGTTACTGATAGTCAGATCTGCTTGAAAGATGTCTTCTTCTCATCTGGTGAATGCTGAAGTCAGTTTTTGTTTTTTTAAAAAGGTTATAATCATATCTCTGAGCACAATGAAAAATGACTAAAAATCAATACACAATTACATTAAAAGGTATCATCAAGCTCTTCTTGACAACTCTTTTATTTAAGCTTGCAACAGCCAAGTTAGCAGCTTATTAGAACCACTTTCCCTACACCTTTGCTAGATGTTAAAATCTGCGTCATGAGACAATGCCCTTTTTATTACTTCCCCAGGATTGCTATAATGAAACATGATCATCCTGGTGGCTTAAAACAATGGGAATGTATCCAGTCACAATTAATGAAACTAGAAGTTCAAAGTCAAGGTGTTGGCAGGGTCTTGCTCTCTTAGAAGTCTCTGAAGGAAGATTCCTTCTGTCTCTTCTGGCTCTGGTGGTGGTTGTGGTAATTCTTAGCATTCTTTTCTTTGTTGATGCACTCTAATTTCTCCGCATGTTGCCACATAGCCTTCTCCCCTGTCCTCCCTATCTCTGTGTCTACAAGTCTATGTTCCCTTCTTCCTAAAAGGAAGGCATTAGATTAGGCTCATCCCAATCCAATATGATCTTTTTTTTAACTTGATTACATTTAAATAGACCCCATTTCCAATTAAGGTCACATTTATAGGTGTTGGGGATTGGGACTTCAGCCTATCTTTTTGGAGGGTACAAATCAAGTCATTCCATACTGACAAACTCTTCTTAGCCCACCCTATTGTCCCACCCTCCTGTGAATCCAGAACACTCAGAATCCATTCCCAGGTTATCCAGGTCCTGCTCCCTTGGTGTACAACCCTACTCTCCACTGGCAGGCTCAGCACTTTCCCAACCTGATGCATGCTGAGATTCAATTCTAGTTATTGATCTCATGGCCAAAAGGGAAAATGAGAGCAGCTCCTGATAAGGGTTCAACACTCTGAAGACTCCATCTGCCCCGCATTGAAGGGGTCCTCCTTGCTAGCCAACTAGTAAGTAATCAAACACCAGGATCTAATCTTTAGGGTCTACTTTTAAAAACTATCTCCTATGGCTCTCCTACCTCAGAGTTCTGCCAAAGAAATGAGTTTCAGGATCCCTAAGATTTTTAGAATGTCAACTGATCTCTTCTAACCATTTCTTGCCTTTTCCTAGCCTGGAAGTACAAGGGGGTATTCCAACAGGTTAATTGAAGATGGGCTTAAAAGATTAGTTTATTTTGATTCAAAAAAAATTGAGATCCATGTGTATGGGAGACCTTCAAAAAGTTCATGGAAAATATGTATTATGAAAGAATTTGTACAGATTTCAAGCACTCTTTGCACTAAAATAAAGTATATTTAAATTCCATTTTTCTACAAGCTATTTGAAGGATACTTTATATTTTCATAGCTGAGTTTTTATTTTCTGTCTTTCCTGGCTTCCCGAATTTCCTAAGTGCTCTTTAAAGCTTAGGCATGGGCCATATGCCCAATAAATACAAGATGAAGCAGTCCATATTTTATTTTTGGATGTAGACACACTTTACATATTAATACACAGAAATAGTCTCCATTTCCACAAAGAAATATGCTACAATCAAAATTCTTGGTCACAATAAAAAAATGCACTTTAGCTAAAATGGAATGAAATTTAGAATAGCATGTTTGGTCTGGGTGTTCAACATCTTTGAAAAATGCATCAGAGAACGTATTGTATCATATGATTAGACTGTTTAGGACAAAACACCACTGCCATGACTGCGGTGTTCTGACAATCTTATGATTTGTTTCAGAAATTTGCCCCAGTAGTCACAGAGGCACCAGTTGCCTCTGCCATTACTTTTACTTCTGCTACTTTTTGCATTGCCATTTTCCCTGCAGACTGCATCCTCTTCTTGTCCCTTCTTGCAGCATTAACCTCTCACCCAGGTGCCCCTGATTTAGTAGAGTCCACCTCTCATACTGCACTGTAGCTGCAAGAGAGTCAAGGAAAAGTATCTTTCTCTGCTCTACGGGTGAGACTTGAAAAATCAAGAGAAGTTGAAGACATTAGATAGCCATAAATGATGGTTGTCTACTACATGCTTGCTCTTAGTCTTTTTATTTTTCCACTTTTGATAGAGACATGAGTGCAAAACATTTTTCTTTCTGTTCAGTTTTAACCATAAGAAAAACAGCAGCGTAAGTGTAATGTTACATGTGACTGAGATCTTGTAGGGGTAACAATAGGGAGTGATGGGTACCATAATAACTTGAGAGCCAATTTACACATTGATTTGCTATCCTGATGGAAGGAGTAAGGAAATAGAGATTACTGACTACCTCCTACACTCTGCACACTCCACGGGGTGGGCTTTAGCTACATAGATAATTTTCCTTAATCCTCAAAGCAGTCTTGAGAAGTACGATTTATCCCCATTTTACAGCTCTGGAGCCCATAATAAAATATGAATAATTCAAAAATTTCAAATACATTTTGCACCAAAATAAACTTATCTTTTAATTCCATTTTCTACAAACTGTTTGAAGTACGCTCGTACTCACCGTGATATGCAAGGGAGTAGATTTTAAAAACTCAGAAAATGAGCTGCAGGTTGTGCCCACTTTGTGCTCCAGATGTTGACCTGGTTACCTACAGAACAGAGCCACGCCTTCTGCCTTCTCCACAATTAGTGGGAACATCTGCTCTGTAAGTAAATAGTTCTACAAGTGCCTAAAGGCTACTTAGCATATCTTAAAAGCAGTCAGCACCCTGGGGTTTGGAAGTTTCCTGGGCAGCTATGAAGGTGGACAGTGGCACACACTTCCCCAGGATGTGCAGCCCCGGATTGTAGTTATCCATTTTGGGAAACAACAAAGACAGATGTCACCCTGATCTACAAGACCAATTTAGCCAACACGGGAGGAAAACCAAACAGGTTCAGTGGCTATTACAAATTATTAAAATCTCCACTTCCTAAGAAAGCAGGGTATTTGTTTGTTTCCTTATTTATCCATCAAGAACTTTTCCCTCCCCCACTCTTTTTAAAAAATTTGTTTCTGGGCCAGAGTGAACAGATCCTTAACACAACCCCCCCCACCCCCCCACTGCCTTTTCTAAGTGCTTCAAGGCAGGAGTGGTATCTGCAAATGATTCACCAATTCCATTCAGTGGAACAAGGATCACTGAGTCCAGGCTCCATGCTCAGCACCTTGGTAGAGATGACTAAGAAGCAGCTTCTGCCCTTAGCTTTCTCACAACAGACCAGGGAGGCCTTCATTCATTCATGTGTGTGAATCAGCACACAGTGACTCAACACTAACAGAGCAATGTATAAAATGCTAAGGCAACACCAGGGATGGTGTAGATCTGAACGTTCAGTCAATGCCTATTCGTTTATTGGGGGTAACATTTTTGTCTTTAGTGTAGGCTCATTTAACTTAACTACTGTGAAATACATATATTTATTGTACAGAGGAGCAAGCATGAGAAGTGACAGAACTGGTGATTAAATCCAGGTTAGCAGTTAATCTTTAAAAAACAGAACTGGTGATTAAATCCAGGTTAGCAGTTAATCTTTAAAAAAAATAAAAATGTCTTTTACTTATTTGAAAGGCAGAGTTAGAGAGAGAGAATCTTCATCTGTTAGTTCTCTCCTCAAATGGCCACGAGGTAAGGCTGCCAACCCGACAGACTGGAGGGAAGGGGCAAAGAAGGAAAAGAGAGAGAAGGAGAGCGTAAAAGAGAGAGAGAGAGAGAGATCGAGAGAGAGAGAGAGAGAGCGAGCCACATGTTCAGGAACAGTTCCTCTTAAACCTTTGCTGGGGGGCAGGCAGGGAAGTAGGAGCAGTGAATCCCATTAGGGTGGGGGTGGAGCTGACACTGGTGGTTGGGCCATGGCATCACCTGGCTTCCAGCCATAGCAATGGGGCTAGAGCCTAGGATGGTGTCTGCGGTATAGATTGTGCCATAGATAAGACTGTACCATTTTACTAACACACTATGGCTCAGGCAGGTCAAGGCTGAAGTCAGGAGCCAGGTCTCCCACATGGGTACAGGGGTCCAAGCACTTGAGCCATCTTCTGTTACCTGCCCAGGAACATTAGCAGGGAGCTGGATCGGAAGTGGCAGCCAGGTCTTTTTTTTTTTTTTAGATTTTTTGAATTTATTTTTATTTGAAAGGCAGAGTTACAGAGAGTCAGAGAGAGTAGGAGAGAGAGGGAGAGAGGGAAAGTGGGAGAGGAAGAGGGAGAGGGAAACAGATATCTTCCATCTGCTGGTTCACTCCCCAGATGGCCGAAATGACCAGAGCTGAGCTGATCTGAAGGCAGGATCTTCTTCTGGGTCTCCCACATGGGGGCAGGGGCCCAAGGACTTGGGCCATCTTCCGCTGATTTCCCAGGCCATAGCAGAGAGCTGGATCAGAAGTGGAGTAGCCGGGACTTGAACTGGCGTCCATATGGGATGCCGGCACTGCAGATGGTGGCTTTACCTGCCATGCCATAGTGCTGGTCCCTCAGATTGTATCTTTTTTTTTTAAAGATTTATTTATTTGAAAGTCAGAGTTACAGAGAAAGAGGAGAGGCAGAGAGAGAGGTCTTCCATCTGATGATTCACCCCCCTGTTGGCTGCAATGGCCAGAACTGTGCTGATGTGAAGCCAGGAGCCAGGAGCTTCTTCTGGGTCTCCCATGTGGGGCAGGGGCCCAAGGACTTGGGCCATCCTCTACTGCTTTACCAGGCCATAGCAGAGAGCTGGATCAGAAGAGGAGTAGCCGGGATTAGAACCAGCGCCCATATGTGATGCTGGCACTTCAGGCCAGGGCATCAACCCGCTGAGCCACAGCGCCGGCCCCATCCTATTATATCTTATGTTGTGTTTTCCTTTTAATTTTCTTGGCATATTTTTCCTTTTTTGTTCCATACGCTTCCCCCTAATACTGTTTTTTTTTTTTTCCCCCTCTGCCTGTTCTTTTTCCTATGTAGAAAACTTGATGGGACTAATGAGGAAGAAGACAACATTGAGCTGAATGAAGACGGACGGCCTGTGCAGGCATCAAGGCCAAGTCCCCCATTCTGTGACTGCCGCTGCTGTGGCATCCCCAAGCGTTACATCATTGCCATCATGAGTGGGCTGGGCTTCTGCATTTCCTTTGGGATTCGGTGCAATCTTGGAGTAGCCATTGTGGAAATGGTCAACAACAGCACTGTATATGTCAACGGAAAACCAGAAATTCAGGTCAGTATCATTCCACGGTAGGAGTTTTTATGGCTGCAGCTTATAAACACATTGCCGCCTAAAAGAAAGCACTGCAGTCATTCATTGAAATGACGAAAACAGAGAAAGATGACCATGGAAGCTGGGCACTGTGCAAGGTGATGCAGACAGAATGGTGGGCCTCTGCCCACATGGAAACAAGTGAGTGATGGGACTTTGGGGTATGCTGGAGTGTGGGAGATGCTTGGGATCATAGATAAGAGGTCCTATCCAGACTTTGAGGTTATGGAAGAATTCCCAGAGAAAGTGATAGATTGCCCTGAAGGACGAGGAAGGTTTTGGTGAGGAGGGAAGAAAACTGCTTGAAGAGGAAGGCCCTTTGCATGTGAAAGAGAGAAGAGAGGGAGAAGAGAGGGACCAAGGGCTCCTTTGTGCCATGCAATCTTTGGCAATCTGGTGAAAACTTAGGAGCCTTTAGTTAAAATAGTGTTCTAAACTCTTGGAATAAAATATATAGGATTATAATAGAAGTCAATTATATATATATATTTTAAAGATTTATTTATTTATTTGAAAGGCAGAGTTACAGAGAGGCAGAGGCAGAGAGTGAGAGAGAGGTTGAGATCCTCCATCAGTTGGTTCACTCCTCAATTGGCCGCAACAGCCAGAGCTGCGCCGATCTGAAGCCAGGAGCCAGGAGCTTCCTTTGGGTCTCCCATGTGGGTGCAGGGGCCCAAGCACTTGGGCCATCTTCCACTGATTTCCCAGGCCATAGCAGAGAGCTGGATCAGAAGTGGAGCATCCACGACTAGAACTGGCGCCCATATGGGATGCTGGCACTGCAGGTGGCAGCTTTACCTGCTGCACCACAGTGCGGGCCCCAGAAGTCAATTAAATGCACATATCAAAATGTTTAAAAATCAAATCTGTGACAGAACATATGTGTCGCTCCCCCTCTTCGTGGAGGAACGACACTAAACCCTGCCTAGGTTTCCTATCCGAATCACGGCACCATTATGTCGCTCCCCCTCTTCGCAGAGGAACGACACAGGACCCTGCGCTGTTCTTTTGTCTGCTCGGCCCTTCCTGGGTTTGCTGCTGGTTCTTCCCGGGTTGGCTACCGACCCTTCCACCTCCGTGGAAGGGCGGTTCCCCCTGGCCACTTTCCCCACTTCCGCGGGGGAGCGGCACACCGCCGGCCGGCTCTCTCGAGGGCTGCTCAGGTGTTCCCCTTAGATGTTCCTGGTGCATGTTGTCTCTCTCCTCCTTTATAGTCCTCTTCCACCAATCCCAACTCTGCTACCCACACGCCGAGTACGCTGCTCTCCTCCAATCAGGAGCAGGATCAGCTCCTGCACGTCATCACTCAAGTTGGCAAGAGACAGCTGCGTAGAAACTGTTTCCTCCTCTCCCAGCGCCATTTTGTGGGAGAGCAGATGCATAGAATAAGTCTTAATTCCAGTAACTTAGTCTAGTCCGAGTTGCTCCCCACACATATGGGCTTCTTTGTTAACGTATCAGAAGGCAAAATGAATTCATGGGATTTTGCAGTGGACGCATACGTGATAGTTTGTGACAGTGGCAGCAACTGTGACAGGATCAAGTACGTTTAGGATTTCTAGTGACAGAGTCACAGGGTATTGGTAATAGCGCTGCGGTTTGTTGTCTTTATCTGTAATTGCAGAAATGAATCTCAGCAGTTAGTGAAAATAAAGTTCACTTCTACCCAGCCAAGTTCACAGATCCACAGCCTTCAGGTTAAGAACTCCCTACTAAGAAGGCTGAGCATCGCGAGATGGAGACAACCAAGTAAATAGGCCAGTTCTCATAAACCACGAGGGGAGGCATGGGTGTGCTCTCAGCAGAGAGGCGACCAAGTCCAGAATGCTAACTGCCCAAGGGGAAGAGGCTGGCTTCAGTGAGATGAGAGGGGAGGCTGAGACCCCATCAGCGACTGTTGTCTTAGGGAAGCACACTCTTTTGTGATTCAAATAGGATGTTTAGTGAGTCACCGAAAACATAAAATTAGCTTTGTTTGATAAGTGGTAGGCCCAGAGAAATACTGAGGTCATGGGAGGAGAAAACAAATGAAAATACCTGCCCGGGACAGCCAAATGAATAAGTATTTCACCGACTTGAGCATATGCGCTGGAATGACTCCCGCGGAAACCTGCCCATTTGCAGAGAGGTATCTGATAGTTCTCTGGTCCCCACCTGTTTAGGAAGATCGAGTTTCCCAAATGGTGTTTGGAAATTATTGCTCTGTAGGTTGTGCTGTGGAGAACGTGTATGGTGCGGAGCCTGTGTGTACGGTGTGCTATGAGACTTTCAAGAGAGGGCCATAATATTTCCTGGACTGACTTGATGGCGACTGCTCTCTTTCATGCCACTTCCATTGGCATCACCTGGAACAGTCTGCTGCCAAGCACTGGTTTGGGAAAATTTGATTTCAATACATGAAAAAGAAGCCTTTAGCTGGCCTGCAGGCAGTTTTTTTTTTTTTTTAAAACTAAGATTATTCTGCCAGAGGAAAATAACACTGTGGAGATTCTTCCAACAAATCTGTCTCTGAGGCCCAGCTACATGTGTCCTGAAAGGACATTCTGCCTTTATTGAGAGGTGAGGGGTGGGATAGACCTGGAGGGGCATATCATGCGTTATTTAAATAGAGAATGATATATATTATTAGCAAGGTTCAGATATGTATCACGTGCATTCTCTCAGCCTTTTGTGAACATGGCCAGCTAATTAAAACTTGTCTGCTCTGCCCCAGATCAAAATGAGATGTTGCTTTGCATTTATTTGTTGCTTGAAAAGACAGGCTTAGGTCAATAGAGCCTGCTTTGAGGCGTATGGAAAAGACAGTTTGATATACCCAAGGAACATTTCTAGTGTGTGCATTCTAGTTTCTATGGTTTTGCCCTCTGGAGTCTTAGAGAAACTGATTAAGACCTAAAATATATTTTTAAAAAATACACATTTTATCTGATATCAAGAGTAGCAGTTTAGTAGTATTTTAGAAGATCTAGCACAACTCCAATTTGTAGCAGGTCATTTTTCTTTTGTCCAAACCGAGGAAACTTATATATCAGCTGAGCATGTTCAACTATGTGACAAAGGGCTCTGAATGCCTGAGATTTGGTTTTTTTTTTTTTTTTGGTTGTTGTTTTATGGGAAAAAACTAGGTGTTTGCACTGAGATATTTGTAAGTCTTCATTTTCAAAAGAGGGAGGGAAGTAAGCAGTATGAACAGATGGATCTTTGAAATATGTGGCATATTCTGTAAGTGCGATAATGGGTGATTTTAGCTAATGTGTGAATAATCATTTTTTTCTTTAATCATTATGAGTTGAAAAGTGTGAGGCACTTAGAACACTGTAGGGCACACAGTAGCAAAGAACGACTGAAGGTTAAGAAATCTAATGATTGTTTCTCATTACCCTCAGGAGAAGTTCAAAGTCCTTCCCATGGATCACAAGCCCTGTAGGGTAAGGACAAGCTTTGGAACTGGCTAGACCTGGTTTTAAACTTGCATCTCCGTGTATTCCCTCTAGGACCTTGACCAAGTTCCTTGTGTCCTGGTCAGGGTTGCTGGTTGCAAAGAATAGAAGGGCAGGGAAATCAGCCCAGGTTAAGAAGGGGATTATTGTAGGGCTGTAGGGGTTCCAGTAAAGGTAAAATACACCAAGCAGGTGGATGTTTGTGTATTCTAGACCCTGGCAAGGGGGCCCTGCCTGAGGTGGGCCTGAAATCCAGGCTGTGCTCCACTATGGAGGAGAAGGAGTCTTTCTGTAATTCTTTTTCAGGTGGGAGATGGAAAATTCTTTCTCGTGGGAGCTGGAAAATACTTTGCTAAGGTCTTTTGCTCACCCCTCAGGGTCTCCTGTCTGCTTCTGAGTCAACTTCATTTTCCCAGGTCTTTCCATGGAAGGCCCGTTCCATGCTTTCACTGCTCTCCAAAGCACAACTACCTTGGGATGATTTCCTTGACCCTGGCTAAATGGCGACATCTTACTTCAAGTGTCCACTGTTGTCTAACTAGAATCTCTGGGTTCAGGTTGCTGTGTGTGTGTATGAGAGTGTGTGTGTGAGAGTGTGTGTGTGTGTGTGAAAGAGAGAGAGCGAGAGAGAGCGAGCCATTGGCTGAATCAAGTCCACAGCTTGACCCTCTCTACTGGGTGTCCCAAGAATATGAAAGAATCTCATGGAGAGAGAGGCAGGACCCTTTTGGAAGGAAGTGTGAACAGGGATACAGGAACTGGCATTTCTGGTAATTCTTTCTTTCTTTTTTTTTTTTTTTTTTTTTTTTTTTTTTTTTTTGAGATTTACTTATTTACTTGAAAGTCAGAGTTACACAGAGAGAAGGAGAGGCAGAGAGAGAGAGAGAAAGAGGTCTTCCATCTGCTGATCCACTCCCCAACTGGCTGCAATGGCCAGAGCTGTGTCAATCTGAAGCCAGGAGCCAGGAGTTGCTTCCGGGTCTCCCACATGGGTACAGGGGCCCAAGGGCTTGAGCCGTTTTCTACTGCTTTCCCAGGCCATAACAGAGAGCTGGATGGGAAGTGGAGCAGCTAGGACTCGAACCAGCACCCATATGGGATGCCGGCACTGCAGGTGGCGGCTTTACCCGCTACACGACAGCACCGGCCCCTCTGGTAATTCTTTGTTAACTCTCACTGCTATTATTGTAAAATGGGAATGAAAAGGCACTTTGAGAACAAACGAAATAGCTTGTATGAAGTACCTATATTATTTTTCTAAGATTGCCGTAACAAATGACCACGAACGTGGTGGCTTAAAACAACAGAAATTTATTCTCTAACAGTTGTGGAAACCAGAAGTCTGAAATTAAGGTGTGAGCAGAGCCTCCCTCCCTGTGAAGGCTCTCGGGGAAAATCCTTGCCTGATTCTTCCAGGAGTTCCTTGGATTGTGCCTACATAGCTCCAATCTCTGCCCACTCCTCACATAGCCTTCTGCTTTCTGTGTGTCTCAAATCTCCCTCTGCCTTTCTCTTACAAGGGCACTTGCTGTTGTACTTATGGCCCTGCTATATAATCTAGAATATGCCACCTCAAGATTTGTGACTTGTTCACATCCACAAAAACCTGTTTCCAGGGATTTGATAAGGATGTCTTTTGGGGGGATATTAGTAATCGTTCGTTCATGGGCTGTTATGATTTTCTTTGCTTTATTTAATTTTTAATTTTAAAAGATTTATTTTTTATTTGAAAGGCAGAGTTATAGAGAGAAAGAGAGAGAGAGAGAGAGAGAGAGAGAGAGAGAGATCTTTCATCTGCTGGTTCACTCCGCAAATGGCCACAATGGCTGGAGTGGGGTCAGACCAAAGCCAGGAGCCAAGAGCTGCTTCTGGGTCCCTTATATGAGTTTAGGGGCCCAAGCACTTGGGCTATTTTCTGATGCTTTCCCAGCCAGGCACATTAGCAGGGAGCTGGATCAAAAGTGGAGCAGTTGGAAATTGAACTGTTGCCCATATGGGCTGCCAATGCTACAGGCAGTGGCTTAACCCACCAGTGCCAGCCCCCACTTTATTTTTACAAAAAGATTTGTTAATTTACTTGTTTGAAAAGCAGAGTGACACACATACACAGAAAGAGAGACAGAGAGAGAGAGAGAACTTCCATCTACTGGTTCACTTCCCAAATGACTACAACAGCTGAGCTGGGCCAGGCTGAAGCCAAGAGCTACGAATTCCCTCCGGGTCTCCCATGTCAGTAGCAGGGACTCAAGTACTTGGGCCATTGTCTGCTACTTCCCAAGTGTATTATCTGGGAGCTGGACTGGAAGTGGACTATCTGAGACTTGAACTGGCATTCCAGTAAGTGATGTGGGCACTGCAAGCAGCAGCTTTACTCACTGTGCTACAATGTCTACCCTGCTTTATTTTTTATTTTAAAATATTTCATTGTGTTAAGAATGCTTAACCTAACAGCTATCTTCTTAAATAAAATTTTAAGTGTACAATATGTGGGGTCTTCAAAAAGTTCATGGAAAATGCATATCATGAAAACTGTGCAAGGATTTTTAAAAATTTGGACTAAAATAAAATTTTTAATTCAAATTTTCCACAAATTTTTGAAGCCCCTCAAAAATGACTGTAAATATTTTGCTAAATATTTGGAATTGGTGAATTATATAATAGTTCTACTTTTAATTTTTTGAGTGTCCCCCATGCTGTTTTCCAAAGTGGCTTTACCGTTCTACCTTCCAACCAACAGTACGTAATGCTTCCAATTTCTCCATATCCTTATATCTCTGTTCTCATTTTTTGATAAGAAAGTGATATCTCACTGAGGTGTTGATTTGCATTTCTTTAACAGTTAGTGACACTGACTATATTTTCTTACAGCAATTGACCATTTCTGTGACTTTCTTGGAGAAATGTATAAATCCTTTGTCCACTGTGATGGTTTACCTAGGGCTCAGAAGATGATGCAGGTCAGTTCTCAGCAGGCCTAAGTGTTTTGTGTCATTTCTTTCAGAGGACAATAGAAACCCCATTTCCTCAGGGAGGAAGGCAAGACAAAAGGATGATGGGACTGGTAATTAGCAGCAGGATGAAGTGAGACTGAAAAAGGCTTCAGTTATTCCTCTGCCTTGGATCTTTGGGTCATTCAGCACCTCAGGACAAAGAAGTCTCATCTCTCCAGAGTGAGAAAATCAAGTCTGTATAAAAGCTGGAGAGGGGCAGGTGCAGTGGCTCACTAGACTAATCCTCCACCTTGCGGCGCCGGCACACCGGGTTCTAGTCCCAGTCGGGGCGCTGGATTCTGTCCCGGTTGCCCCTCTTCCAGGCCAGCTCTCTGCTGTGGCCAGGGAGTGCAGTGGAGGATGGCCCAAGTCCTTGGGCCCTGCACTACCTGGCTCCTGCCATCGGATCAGCGCTGTGCGGCGGCCATTGGAGGTGAACCAAGGGCAAAAGGAAGACCTTTCTCTCTGTCTCTCTCTCTCACTGTCCACTTTGCCTGTCAAAAAAAAAAAAACAAACAAAAAACAAAAAACAAACAAACAAAAAAAAAACAACGCTGGAGAGAAGGTAGCTTTTGCCAGGGGGCGGGGATGATGATCAGGCAGATGAGAGGTTGTGACCTCTCTCCTACAACTAGCTGTGTGACCCTGGGCAAGTGAATTCATTTCATTAGGCCTCTGTTTCCTCACTTTCGAAGAATGCGTAATAATAATTACCCCTCAGTGTTCCAAGGATTAAAGGAGGAAATAATGGAAAGTGCCTCAGCAAGATCACATCCCTCCCCTGCTTAAATCTTGCAATGGTCTTTATCTCTGTGTCAAGGCCAAGGTCCGTAAAGAGCTCTTCACCATTTCAGCCTCTCTTACTCCAGTACCCGCTCTTCTTCCCCTCCTCGTCATGACCCTCAAGCTACATGGACCTGCACCTCGGGACCCTCACTCACCTTGCTGTTTTCTGCTTGGAAACTCGCCTTTCAGATGACAGCATGACTGGCTCTGTTCTTTCCTTTAGGTCTTTACTCAAAAATCATCTCAGTGACGTCTGTCCTGGTCCTTGTATCTAAAAGTTCAGTCCCTCTCACCCCACCCAACACTTCATATCCCAATTCCTTGAATTTTTTCCACTTCTCATTGTTGGTTACCATCTAACTCACTATATAGTTGTTTATTACCTGCTATCCACATTTGCTTCTTTCTTTCTTTATTTTTTTTAGTTTATTTATTTTTTATTTTTTGACAGGCAGAGTGGACAGTGAGAGAGAGAGACAGAGAGAAAGGTCTTCCTTTGCCGTTGGTTCACCCTCCAATGGCCGCCGCGGCCAGCGCGCTGCGGCCGGCACACCGTGCTGACCCGATGGCGGAGCCAGGTACTTATCCTGGTCTCCCATGGGGTGCAGGGCCCAAGGACTTGGGCCATCCTCCACTGCACTCCCGGGCCACAGCAGAGAGCTGGCCTGGAAGAGGGGCAACCGGGACAGAATCCGGCGTCCCGCCTGACCGGGACTAGAACCCGGTGTGCCGGTGCCGCTAGGTGGAGGATTAGCCTAGTGAGCCACGGCGCCGGCTCACATTTGCTTCTTTATAAAGGCAGGCATTACTGTTATTCACTGGTGTAACCCGAATGCTTAAAATGATATGTGACACAAAAATAGGCACCAAATGAAAATTTGGTGATCTGATCCGAATGAATGGTTATTAGTTCCTTTTTACTCTTGAGTTTCATCTTCCTAATTGGCACAGTGTTCAGTATAATAGAGAAAATACAGAATGATGTCACTTAGGCTGTGGTTTGAAGGCCAAGGCAGTTCCTGTTTGAATTTGTATTTGTATTGTCCAGCACCTGACCTAGTATACGGAAACAGTAGGTGAACGTTGAATAAATTATCAAATAAATGTGTAATAACTTGTGAGAAGAAAATAAACTGTGACAAAAGTTTACAAAACATGGTTTATTGATAATGAGGAGCCCTCACTCCATTCTGGCATTTTTGTGTCAATGCTTCCCAGAGCCACTCATGTATTCATCCACTCAGCAAATGTTTCCTTGCACCTTCTGAACAGGACGGGGGTGCCTTCCTAGAGCTTCTCATCCCCCAGGGTGGGACATGGACATGTGCACAGCTACTCTGAGGGCAGCACAAGGGAACACCAGGGCTGCAGGATCACAGCTCTGTGGGACAAACCCAGGAAGCAGAGACCAAGTCAATGTGGAGTGAGATGGTCAGGAAGCTTCCGTAGAGGAAAAGACACGTGCCATGAGTCTGAAAGCAAGGAACTGTTCAGCATGGAGAAGGAAGTGAGAAGAGGGACTCTAGCCCTGGCAAAGGACATTCTCAGTGGCCTGAGAGTTGGGGGAGGGCAGGCGGTGGCCTCTGTCCCATTAGAGTAACAATAGTGACTGCTAACTGAGACTTCACTGTGCTTGAGGCACTATCCTCATCTGATGCAGGAAGACTCTTTCATAATCTACTGCAAACAGTCATGCCATTTAGCCCCACACTTTCTATGGGCACCTAGAATAGTTCTTATTATCTTCTTTAAGAAATGAGAGACCCAAGATGGACTCTCTTTGTGCTCTAAGCTGGTATCTGAATCAACTAGTAAATAACCTGGTAACACTAAACACTGTTGTTTTCTTCATAAGCTGTTTTCTTTTTTTACTCCTAGCCCTCATCACTATTTTCTCAACATACAGATGTTTAAATATGTGCCTCTTTCTCCTTTGAAGGTGAGCTCCAAGAGAGGAGGGACTTTGTTTTGCTCACTGCCGTATCTCAAGGACGCAAGGCAACCTCCAGAAACACTCGTTCAATAAAGGAAGGAAAGAGAAGCCTCATGGGGCTATTAGGCAGATTCTTGGTGAGAAATGCAATGCTGGTGAAGTGTTTCCTTACAACCCTAACTGTATCTGATTCCTCATCTCCAGACGGCACAGTTTAACTGGGATCCAGAGACAGTGGGCCTGATCCACGGATCTTTCTTCTGGGGCTATATTGTGACACAAATTCCAGGCGGTTTCATTTCAAACAAGTTTGCTGCTAACAGGTAAGATAAATGGATCCAACGGCAGTGCTGTACAGGTTATAAAGTGGCTTTCTACCTTTGTAAAATCTGCAGGGTCAATGCTCATTTTGAGGGTGCAAAATGAAAAATGAGAGCCATCCTCATACATACAATTTGCAGATCTTGATCTCAAATAGTCTATTCTGTAGTAAATTATTATGGGAGAAAGAAAATGAAAGAATGGGGGGAGGAGAGAGAGAGAGAATATGTGTGCTCCCTTTCACTGGTTCATTTCCCAAATGCCCATAAAGGTTAGAACTGTGCGGGCTGAAGCTGGAAGTTGGGAACTCAATCCAAGTCTCCCATATGGGAAGCAGGAACCCAGTAATTACATGAGCCATCACTGCTGCCTTGTGGGTCTGCATTAGCAGGAACCAGAGTCAGGAGCTAGAGCTGAATATCAAATCTTGATGTGAGAAGTGGGCATTTTAATTTATGTCTTAACCGCTAGGCTAAATGCTCACCCCAGTCCTGTTCTTCAGAGTCTATATACATACTTTTTTTTTTCAATTGTGTTTGTGTGTAAAGATTTTTTTTAAAGATTTTATTTATTTCTATTTGAGAGTTAGAGTTACAGACAGTGAGAGTGAGAGACAGAGAGAAGGGTCTTCCAACTGCTGGTTCACTCCCCAGATGGCCACACAGCCAGAGCTGCGCCTATCTGAAGCCAGGGGCCAGGCATTTCTTCCTGGTCTCCCACGTGGGTGCAGGGGCCCAAGCACTTAGACTATCTTCTACTGCTTTCCCAGGCCATAGCAGAGAGCTGGACTGGAAATGGAACAGCCAGGATTAGAACCAGTGCCCATATGGGATGCCAGCGCCGCAGGCAGAGGATTAACCTACAGCGCCACGACGCAGGCCCCTATACTTACATTTTTGACCAATATAATTTACCTTGTAACTGTTTAAGCGATTACGTGATAAAAGAGAACATTTAACTATGAGTCAGGAGGAATAGATCCTGGCTCCTTAATGGCTCACTGGTAACCTCTACTGAGTTACTTTCCCTCTCTCACTGGGCCTCAGTTTTCTCATCTGTAAAGTGAAACCATTCAACCACATTGCATTTCAGTTCTCTTTCACCACTGACATTCTGCCATCCTAGGCACTCATAAGGTTTTGTCATGTCAGTAGTAAGGGCTTGCCTTTAGACTGCACAGTGTGCCTTTGATGCCCTTGAGACTTTATAGTGGGTGCTTGAGCAATTAAAAGTGTCTCAGAACAGAAGGAGCTATGTCAATTTGCAATGAGTTCTCTGTCACTAGAGGTAGTCAAGCAGAAGAGGATGACCACTTGGGGGAGATAGAGAGTATAATGTGCACGAGAAAAAGAATAGAAAATATTTCCAGTTCCTTTCCAATTGTATTTCTCATATGACTATATCAATGGATTTTGTGAAGTATATTGCATTTTATAAAGCTGTGTTTTTCAGACTCTAAAACAACTTATTAAATGGTTGTGATACTGCTATAGCAATTTAACAAATATTTGAGAGAGATGAGAGAGAAACAGAATAAATTGGATAAAGCAGAATAGTAAATACTAAGTGCATTGCGCATAAGAACAATGATTGGTTTTTGAAACTTATTTCAGTTACATTTGTGTGTATGAGCATAGATGGTGTTGTAATATAAAACATATTTTCTTTATGGGAAACTTAAACAACCTTTACTGTGAGATCCAAAAACGTGCAAACATGATTGTTTTTACTCATCTTCTTGTTTATATCTTATTTTCTAACTTTATTTTTTAATTTTCATTTTTTTAGTCTTTAACAGGTTCAATATAGTTAATAGATACAGTTCTGAGGATATAATGATAGTCCCTTTCTCCCATACTCTCTTCTTTCTCTCTCTCCCCCTCCCTCCCTCTCCCTTTCCCCTTCTCTTTTGAGATAACATATCTTTAATTTCCATTGTATCAAGTGCTTAACATGCCAGTATTAAAGAGTTCATCAAGTAAAAACCAAAAAGACCCTAGTTTAGTGGAAATGTAGAGAATCTATTCTTCTTATAAAGTGATACAAATACTAATATTGGCAGTTTTGATTTCCTAGGTTACTGCCTACACCTCTGTCCTATAAAGAAATCACAATAATATGATTGTATTGTATGGGAAAAAAGGTTGAAGCATCATTAACCTGAGGGGGAAGAGAAAAAATGGTGCTTTTTTTCTTGTGAGCTGAGCAGGGTGGAGAGGGCAGGGACACTGAGTTGTGATTGAAGGGCCACCTCTCTTGTGCTTGGTTGGTTCCAAGGCAAAAGAAAACTGGGAAACTAGAGTACAGCCCTGGGAAGCAGGAGACACAGCCTCAAACATGGGAGCGTTAGAAAGGAATAGTCAAGAAGGTTCAGTTTGGTGGCCCCGGGCAGAGTATAACATGCACGAGAAAAAGAATAGAAAATATTTCCAGTTCCTTTCCAATTGTATTTCTCATATGGGTGGGTCTCCAGCAAGCTCCCTTCAAGCTGCTCATTCTGCAGCTTTCTAGGACACCATCCAAGAAGACACCTGTGCTTCCAAAAATGTGTCTATATTTGGTCGAGACTGGACCTTGGGAATCAAAGCAGCCAAAGTCTAGCTTGGGGGCACAGGAGACCCTAATACACTTATTTCTCTGAATTAATTTGTCTTCATTTTCACAGGGATCTTATATAAACTGTTAGGTTCTTTTTAGATGTTTAACTGAAGTGCATCAACTATCACCTGGTCTTCCAGTAACATAGTGCTTTGGTCCCTCAGGGTCTTTGGAGCTGCCATCTTCTTAACATCAACTTTGAACATGTTCATTCCTTCTGCGGCCAGAGTGCATTATGGATGCGTCATGTGTGTCAGAATTTTGCAAGGTCTAGTGGAGGTAGGAAAGGCTTTCCTCATGGTTTTTTATATTGCCAGAGACAATGTAATCTTTTAGAAAATTCAGCTCAAGAAAACCATCCCCATTCCTTCCTGTCTTCCTTTTTAAAGCTGCATTACATTTTGAAGATTTATTAAAAACAAACAAAATAAATTAAAAAAGACTTACTTATTTGTCTGAAAGACAGAGTTACAGAGCAAGTAAGAGATCATCCATCTATGATCTACTTCCCAAATGGCCACAATGACTGGGGCTGGACTGGGCCAGAGCCAGGAGCCAGAAACTGCATCCGGGCCTCCTGTTTGAGTAGCAGCGGCCCAAGTACTTTGGTCATCTTCCACTGCTTTCCCAGGTGCACTAGCAAAGATTAGAAGTGGAGCAGTTGGAACTTGAACTGGCATTCATATGGGATACCAGCATTGTGGGTTGTGGTTCAACCTGTTGCACCACAACACTGTGCCCAAAATCCCCTTTTCTTAGTTTTCCAATTTTCTACCTTATCCTGCTATCTCAGCTCTCTGATGATGGCTACAATTACAAATATTTTACTTAAAATGGCTTGTCTTATTCCACATTTATATCTAATAGATCTCCATAATGACTTTAGAGATAATCTAATAAACTACTTCATGTTAATAGAAGATGAAACTAAAACTTAGAGCTGACATAGCAAGGGCTCTTTCAACCACAGCAATTTAAGTCAATGTATTAATAATGTGCAAGTTTCCAAGGGTGTAGTCTGATGCCAAAATTTAACTCCACGAAAATGGCAACTTGATGCAGTGCCAAGGGTAAATATTTAGGGCTCTAATGGCCATGCCAACTTTGTTGCAACTACTGAACTCTGCTCTTATAGTACAAAAACAATCACAGACAATATGGAGACACATGGACATGGCTGTATTCCAGTAAAGCTTTTTAGACCCTAAAATGTGAAGCCTATATGGCATATAGGTTGCCATAAAATATAATTCTCCCTTTGATTTTTTTCCTTACCACTTAAAAACATAAAAATCATTTTTAGGGGCTGGTGTTGCAGCATAGTTGGTTAAGCCCATCTGGGCACTGGTTTGTGTCTTAGCTGCTCCACTTCCAATCTAGCTCCCTTCTAATGGCCTGGGGAAAGCAGCAGAAAATGGCCCAAGTGATTGGGCCCCTGCCACCCATGTATGAGACCTAGAAGAAGCTCCTGGTTCTTGACTTCAGCCTGGCCCAGTCCTGGCTGTTGTGGACATTTTGGGTGTGAACCAGCAGATGGACAATCTCTTTCTGTCTGTCTCTCTCTCTCTTTCTCTAACTCTGCTTTTCAAATAAATAAAATAACTCTTTTTTAAAAATCATTATCAGCTTGTGGGCTGTACAAAAACAGGTGGTGGGCCAAACTGGGCTCTACCTTGCCAACTTCTTAAGTACAGCAACATTATTCAAACTCAGTCACTCAGTGCTAGTTGTCCTCACTTTGTTATAACCATGTACAACTTGTACAGTTACTTGACTGTTGTTTTCACCTAGATCAACTCACTTAAAATAAAAAAGAAACCCCAAAATCCCTTGTTCCAGATAACAATATCTTTGAAATCATAGCTTTGATGTATATATTAGTCTGCTTTCCTGACCTTAATTAGAACTCTCAAGGAGTTTCTTGAGATGGAAAAGTTTATGTTAGCTTACAGTTTGGAGGTTATGGTTTAGGATTAGTGGCCCATAACTGGTGGAGGCTTGTCATGCATTTGTGGAGTAACAATCACACAGTGAGTCAGGAAACAGAGAGAGAGAGAACACGAGTGAGCGAGCCTAGGTAGAACTTGAACTCAAATAATAATCTATCCTGTTGTAAGAACCAATCTCTGAGGACACAGCCTCACTGACCCAAAGACATCCCACCAGACATACTTTACAAATGCCATAATTAGATCAAGCCCCCCCACCCCACTCCAATCCATCAATCATTAACATTACAGCATCAAAGTTTAAACCCCTTACATGAGTTTTGGAGAGACAAGTCCTACTCAACCCAAAATAATGTGCTAATTACATTTTTTCCTAAAATGGATTAGAATGTTTATGTAGCATTTATAATTAAGAGGGTAAGTTGTTGTAGCCCCTCAAATCCAACTCTAGTCCTACTAGCACACTTTGGGAAACACTGGTGTGGTGGGAAGAATGTGATATTAGCAGTCATGAAGATTAAGTTCTAGTCACCTTACGAGTCTGAGCCTCACTCAGCTCCTGTATCTTGAAATGAGAGAATGGACCGAGAGATCATGGAATTCCCTTCTTATACTGATATTCTGCAATACAGGAAATGTAAAAACTTCCTTCCCCTTTCCCTATCATATTCACATTTGCACTTTATTTGAATTTTAGCATATGTGCTGTGAGTCAAAAATCTGAATCATGGTGTCTTAGCTTTTGGGGCTACTGTAACAGAATACCATAAACCAGGTGGTTAATAAGCAACAAAAATTTATTTCTCCCAGTTCTGGAGGCTGGGAAAGGTGAGATCAAGGTGCCAGCAGACTTGGTATCTGGTGTGGGCTTCTTCCTGACTCACACACCATTATCTTCTCTGGGTCTTCATATGGCTGAAGGGGCAAGGGCCCTACCTGGGGTCGCCATCCTCATAACGTAGTCACCCAGAGGTCCATCTCCAAACACAATCATATGGAGGATTAGGTTTCAACATAAGAATCTGGTGGGGGAAACAGGCATTCAGTCTCTAGCAGTGTCTATGAATTGGCCTTTTAAACTGTAGCTGGTGTAAAGAAGCAGCATCCATGTTTTAAACATATAGAAACTGCAGGAAATTAATCTATTTCCAATCCTTCTGCCAGGGTGTGACCTACCCCGCCTGCCACGGGATGTGGAGTAAGTGGGCACCACCATTGGAGAGAAGCCGGTTGGCCACAACCTCTTTTTGTGGTAGGTGTATTAGAATTTTGGCTTTAAGTAACTGAAAGCCCCATTAAGGGTCTTAAGCAGAGTCTTGCTACCTAACAGAATCACAAAGGTGAGTGACTGTTGCTGTTATTTGTGCTGCTCAACAATCCATGCAGGGAAAGCAAATACTTTCCCAAAGTCCCTACCGGACTTCCAACTCCTGTAACTATGTCACACACTTTACTTACTCAGGGGAGGATAGGAAAGCAGTTGCCTACCTTCTACAGCCTCTCCAGGAAAAAAGAAGGGAGAAAGGGTTGGAAGTGGCTGTTGGATAGCCAACAAATGACATTTGCCAAGGGTAAATGTGGAAGAAATGGGATAATCAAACCTCCCACTTCTCTTTTTACATTGAAACTGAAGTCCAATGATTTGCCCAAGGTCACACGGCCATTACTCAAGGTCACACATATACAAAGTCATGGAGCCAGAGCAGAACCACCCGATTCTTGCTCTGGAACTTTCCGTACTACACACTGCTAACACTGCATTAGACCATTTTTGCTTATTGTAATGACAGATTAACTTTATAAAGAAAAGAGGTTTATTGAGCTCACAGTTCTAAAGATAGATGGCAATGTGGTGCTAGCATGGCTCAGCTCTGATGAGGACCTCATGGCGAATGGCATCATGATGGAAGGAGTGAACACAGGCAAGAGCCACAGATTGCGCAGGAAGCAAGAGAGACACACCCTCAATGACCTGAAAACCTTTACTAGGCCCCATCTCTTAAAGGCCCACCAACTCCCACTGCCACAGTGAGGACAATGTTTTCAATACAAAAACCTGTGAGGGACACACTTAAACTGCATTCAAACCATAGCAAATGTGTATTTTATCAGAGACATTTTAATTATTTTTGCCATTATATTCCAGATAAAAGTGAAGTAGAGACCATCCATCTCACCAGAAAGTAGATTTAGGCATCCTCAAGTAGTACGGGACCCCCAGTCTTGCTAAGGCTCCTCACCGTAAGCATCCTTTTGGGACTGGTCCCTCTATGTATTGCTGGAAGGATGCAGGGTTCTGAAGGGTTTACTTAGATACCAATCCACAATAGAAAAACTGCAGCAACAAAGTTATAAATGTATTTTAAAGTATTGTTTATGGGGGAAGGTGCCCATGTAGGCAAAAGTACCTTGGACCACAAAAGTCATGATGGGACCCAAAGAGTTAGCGTTAGAATTTAGGTCTGATTTTTCAAGCAAGCCTGAATTTCCTAAGATAAGCTAACCTGTACTTCTTTGCTAAGAAGAGAAATAAAACTTCCTTTTCATTTTTGTGAATGTTTTTATTTTTTTCTCTTGATTTTCCACTTACCTGCCAAATAACAATTCTTACATTAGTAATAGTGATCAAATATTTCTGGGAATTTGGTGTGAAACATCCGCCAATGTATCTGTTTTCTGCCTTGTTTGGATATGCGTGTGCAGCTGAAATGTCTTTAGAAACCATATCTGGCTTCTCATTTGCATTTCAAGAGCACCTCTGACCCTACTACTGAGCTTATAAGCTTCTGCCCAACTCATCTTGTGGTTTACTGGATCCTTGGTCTTGACTTCTTTGGATGGCTTATTTGTAAGGCTTTTCATTTTGATTTGCCAGCAAAATGAGAGTGACTCGCAGCCACTCCCCAGTCTTAGTGCGTCTTTACAGCCCTAAAAGGGCTGATTTAAGAGGTAGTTTGACTCCCAAGGAAAGTTACCTGGTCAAGGTCACAGGTCCTATTACATTCCCCAGTGAAGGTGTGGCCTTGATTTCAATAAACAGTCAAGGGAAAATGTCCTTACAAGGAAACCCAGACCAGGAGGTTGATTGATTCTTGATCTCAAAAGATTTCAGAGTGAGAAGAGATTCTAGAAAACATCCCGTTACACCCCCATGTCTAGTACTTGAGGAAACTTAGGTTCAGGGAGGAAAAAAGGATTTACATTCTCATGGCTCATAAAGGCAGATCTGGGGACTCTTTCCTACGCCTGATTCTGCTGCTGCCCCTCCCCGTGCTATCCAGTGATCACTCAAGGGCCACGTGTTTCATTCATGGGCATGGTGGGCACACGAGGGCCAGAGGGGCAGCCTTCTCCCAGGGCAGAGCACTTTGTTGTATATGCCCGAAGGTTGTGGGTGAAGGGAGATGACATTGAAGCCCATTTGGAAGGATGAGGAAGAGTTTTTTCAGAGATAGAGAAGAAGGCCATTGAGGTCAAGTCGTAGCATTTTCCCAAAGAATGTTGTTTTTTCATTCATATATATATATATATATATATATATAAAACTTATTTGAAGGGCAGAGTTACAATGAGAGAGGAAGAAGGAAGGAGAGGGAAAGAGAGAAAAAGGTCTTCCATCTGCTGGTTCACTCCCTAGATGGCAGCAACAGCCAAGGCTGGGCCAAGCTGAAGCCAGGAGCCAGGAGCTTCTTCAGGTCTCTCATTTGAATGCTGGGGCCCAAGGACTTGAACCATTTTCTGCTGCCTTCTCAGATGTCTTAGCAGGAACCTGGATCGGAAGTGGAGTGCCCATATGGGATGTCAGCATTGCAGGCAGTGACTTAACCTGTTACACCACAATACCAGCCCCATAAAGAATGCTCCTTACTATGGAGAATTATTGGATGTTTTTGTGTGAAGGAGGCAGAGCTGAGTTATTAAATACAGGTCCCAAGAACCTGCATTCTGAACTCTGTCACACCTGTGTGACCTCAGGCAATTTACTTCCCCTCCCCCAGGACTGTTTGCTTCCTTGTAAAATGGAGATAATATTGAGACTGACTTCATTAAGTTGCAGAGGGTAGAATAACATCACAGGAATAGAATGCTTAGCACACAGAAAGTGACATGGGCCAGGCAGGGAGTCAGAGGACCCAGAGCTAAGGACTGCCAGCAGGACGGTCATGTGCTCCACTCAAATCCCATCACTCTTTTGTGCTGATTCAACACACTTGAAGACTTAGCACACCCACTCCTCATCCTGCAGCTGAGCCTCACTATCCACTATGTACCACAACACCTTGGAGTTCACCACATGTGCCACAGCCCCACCCTGTAGCCTATAAAAGCAGGACCCCAGTCTGAGTTCCACTAATTCTCTTGAGGTTGCCCACACTCACCTTTGAGTGTGTTCTATCCCTTTGCCTTTCAATAAATCCTGCTTTTTTTTTTTTTTTTGCCTTTCAATAAATCCCGCCTTTTTTTTTTTTTTTTTTTTTTTTTTTTCCTCTCACCTCTCTCTACGTCTCCTGGTTGTATTTATTTGCAGGAAGACAAGAACCTGGACTAAGTCTAGCTGGGAGGTCTTTCCAACCTAGCAAGGGCTCTGGATCTCCACAGCATAATTTAGGGTCCCTATCCCCACAACAAAAGCACACACAATGAATCTTGGTTGTTGTTGTTTATTCCTGGACTCTCCATGTCTCCATGTCTCTTTGCATAATTTTTTTTAATTTAATGAATGCATTTTTACATAGATACAACTTTAGGAATACAGTGGTTCTTTCCCTCATGCCCCCCACCCCGCTCCCTTCCCACCTTCCATTCCCTCTCCCATCTCCTTCTTCTTATGGATCATTTTTAGTATGACTTTATATATAGAGGACCATCTCTATACTAATCATAGAATTCAACAATTTGCCTCCACGCCCACACACAATATATAGAGTACAGTTTGGGGAGAGAATTTGCAGTTGATTCTCATATTGCAATTCAATAGGCATCATATCTATGAGACCCCACCCTCATCTGCATTCCTGACGTATTTGGCCTAGGGAAGATCACCTTCTCCACACCAAGGCAGAGTCAGACCTGCAGCCTTCTTTGAATGTTTGCCCTGGTGAACTTGCCTTACTGGTTTGAGAAATTTTAAAGTTTGTATAAAGAAATAAAAATGGTTGTCATTCTGTGATAATAGCAATAATAGCTGGCATTTGTGTAATCCTTTAGAGCTTACAAAGTGTCTTCAATGACATTGTGTAGTTGCCCCTCAAACAGACACAGGAGTTAGACATTTCATTCCTATCTTATCTCGGGGGAGAATGAGTCTAGAGACTTTCGCAGGTGTTGTGATGTTCAGACTTCAGGTCCCAGGTTCAGTCTTTTAGCCTTTCATAGAGAGTCAGACCCAGTTTGGAAAGATGTGTCGTAACCTGTATCACTGCAAGCTCCCCAATTTCTCTTTTCCTGAGCATTGACTTCTGGAATAAAGGATTGCCCTTTGAGTTCATTAGTTTTTCTGCAGTAACTTTTTTGATTCCCAGCCCAGGGGTCAATTTCAGATAGTAACTTTTCAATTCAGTTAATATGTATTAGGAGTTTGCAAGGCTCATGTTTTCTCACCAGATATCCTGGAATTGTGGGAGATAGTGGAGGCCCATCACTGCCTCTAGCCCTCGCTATCTTGTCTAGACAAGATAAACATACACACTTAGGTAAGTATTTGCAATATTAAGTATTTACAAAATAAGAAATGTCAAAGAGCAACATCACGACAATTTAAAGATCATGTAATATTTATCCAGCTTTATGGGACAAAAGGCAATATGTCAACAGGTGCATCCAGTATAAACTGATCAAATCAGCTAACCAGTATCCCCATCTCTCCCATTACCCCCTTCCTCCATGTTTAGAGCCTACCAGCTCCTCTATTCCAGTTCTCTATAAAGGATATAAAACATGATTGTGATCTATAATCACCCTATGGTGCTATGGAACCCTAGAACATATTACTTTGAACTATGTTTTGGTGCCCTTTATCTAGTTTCTCTCTACCCCTCTTCCTTAACCCCTCCCAGTCTCTAGAATCCCTATACTAATTTTTTCTTTTCTTTTCTTTCTTTTTTTTAGAATTCACCCCGATCTGAGGAGGGGAGGAGGGGACAGTGTCTCTATTGAGACTATTTTATTTTATTTTATTATTTTTGAAAGGCAGAGTTACAGAGAGAGCTAGAGACAGAGAAAGTCTTCCATCTGCTGGTCACTCCCCAGCTGGGAGTGCAATGGCTGCAGCTGAGCCAAACTGAAGCCAGGAGCCAGGAGCTTCTTCTGGGTCTCCCATGTGGGTACAGTGGCCAAGAACTTGGGCCATCCTCCACTGCTTTCCCAGGTGTATTAGCTGGGAACTGGATTGGAAGTGGAGCAGCCTGGACTCAAACCAGTGCCCATTTGGGATGCCAGTGCTGTAGGCCAGGGCTTTTAACCACTGCAGCACAGCTCTGGCCCTACTAATTTCACTTGTCTTTATTTTCCATTCTAGAATCAACCAATTCTTCATTAACAAAATGAAATTAGTGTTCTGATGGGCTGAGCAGCAGAGGTTGTTTTTATAGACAGAGAAGGGCTGAGGAAAGCAGAAATAAAGAACAAAAAGTACATTTTGATGTTACTTTACTTTTAAAAAATAGATAGGAAGACAAAAATATAAAAATTACTAACTGGTTAACATCAGTTGCCTTTTCTGTGAAAGGGGTAAGGCAGGGGGAACCTTATTATTGTCAGTTGAAACTCAACTTTCTGGGAAATTAGGCTGTTGTCTCGCAATTATCCGGTTTCTTGGAAGGTCAGATAAGTGGATTAGTTTCAGTTTGGTTATGTGGAACGTTAGCACAGGGGACTCCATCTTGATTTTTAGTCTGGTCTGTGTTGCCTAGTGCAGCACCTAGTTCAAAACAATGGCCTTCTGTAATTTTTATTAACAGAAATAAACTTGAAAACGTACCATGAGAGAGACAGATGGAGATGGCAGTTTTGCCATCCTGGAATTCAATTATATTCTGATTTTTTAAAAATTGAAACTATAAAAAGCACGATCTTTTTCCTACTTTGATGTTTTTTGTTTTTTGTTTTTTTTTTTTTTTTAGATTTTATTTATTTTATTTAGTTATTTGAGAGGTAGAGTTACAGACTGTGAGAGGGAGAGAAAGAGAGAAAGGTCTTCCGTCTGCTGGTTCACTCCCCAAATGGCTGCAACGGCCGGAGCTTGCTGATCTGAAGCCAGGAGCTAGGAGACTCCTCCGGGCCTCCCACTTGGGTGCAGGGGCCCAAGGACTTGGGCCATCTTCTGGCTTCCCAGGCCATAGCAGAGAGCTGGATGGAAAGAGGAGCAGCTGGGACTAGAACCGGGACTCACATGGTATGCTGGTACTGCAGGTGGAGGATTAACCTACTGCGCCACAGCGCCGGGCCACTGATGTTTTCTGTTTAAAGACTTCAAGTGAGCACCTTGAACTGTGAGCTCTGAAGGGCAGATTCCATATGTTCCTTTGTTTGCTTTCTTTAGCATGCAGTAATGTGTCTGGTTGAATTTAACTTCTCTTATATTTCCCCCATTTTGTGATTCTCTTCTCTCATGTTGTTTTAAATTATGGTCCCTGAGCAATCTCTGTCTAATTCCTGGATGGTCTCTGGATAGTGAAAGGGCATGCTGATGACCTTCCCTTCCTAAAAGCTCTGTTGTTAGGCATACTGGGAGGCTGCCAGTCTCTGCAGGAAGGCAGTCTGACTCCTGTTTGTTTGATTCATTCTCAACTTTACCACATGGACAATGGGCTGACAAGGCTTGCATGAAAATGGGTCGATCTCCCTCTATCTTTTCTTGTTTCAGGTTCCTACGCAGGGGCAGTGGTTGCTATGCCCCTGGCAGGGGTGCTAGTGCAGTACATTGGATGGTCCTCCGTCTTTTATATTTATGGTGAGTGATTTGACTTTGTGACTTCACAGGGTGATTCATAGTTATTGGGTAAATGGGATACTTGTCTACCTAAGATTATCTATGGTAAAGTGGATTTTTTTTTAAACAGGCAAAGCATCATCTTTCTTTATACACCAGTAAACAATAACAGGAAAATCAACAAAGTCCTTCCTCCTAGTTGAACATATTGCTATCTGGGAGGATTTTAAAAATTAAAAAAATTAGAGGCAGGAAAAAATGAGACCATATCCTCAAGCCTTTTGTGTTTTGACTGCAGGGATGTTTGGGATCATTTGGTACATGTTCTGGCTGCTGCAGGCCTATGAGTGCCCAGCAGTTCACCCAACAATATCCAGTGAGGAGAGGACGTATATAGAGACAAGTATAGGAGAAGGAGCCAACTTGGTTAGTCTAAGTGTAAGTACAAATGGACAGATGAAGATTTGCCTCTTTTATATAAGTATTTCTCTTAGTCATTGTGTTGTCTTCTTAAAAAATAAGATGTCAATATTTTCACTAATAATCTCATGATATTTTTACTCTTTAGAAATTTAATACACCATGGAAAAGATTTTTCACGTCATTGCCGGTTTATGCAATCATTGTGGCAAATTTTTGCAGAAGCTGGACCTTTTATTTGCTTTTAATAAGTCAGCCTGCTTATTTTGAAGAGGTCTTTGGATTTGCAATAAGTAAGGTAAACACATACATGCTTCAGGTGTTCTTGAACTTTGAATTTCTTGATTCTACTGAGCATATCCTTAGATGATAAAATAATTAAATTTGCCGATCATGATTTGAAACAGATCTGTAACATCTAGTAGCCTGCAGGTCAGACAAGTTGTACATTCTGTGCAGAGTGTACACAGCTGTTTAATTTCTCCTTAGTAAGGATCAGAGCTGTATTAAGCTGCTTTTAAATATTTATGTTCTGTTCAATATCAAAGTGTGTTTGAAGCTTTCTCAAGCACTGCATATTAGGCAAGGATAAGAAGATTTGAGGGTACGGGGTTTCTTTTTTCTATAAACTACTCAGCAGCAGAGAGAACCTTAAAGCTTGTTTTGCAGGTGGCTCCTCTCTTCCTAACAGTGGTTATCCATGTAGCAACTACTGCTTGTGATAGTTTAGCAATAACTTCGTTCAGTGGCTTCAAGCCACTGTCATTAGGTTGTCTGTGTTTCAGGGAGGAAGGGTTTGTATGGTGAAACATAAGCCATCATCATAAAATAATTAAGCCTCATTCTTACAAGGGAAAGAATAGCAGCCCAGCAGAGGTAGATGTCTACACAGCTGCAGGCGTTGTCAGAGGAGACTGGAAAAACCAGCAGAGTCACGGATGGTGGCTGCCATTAGTGAGCACTCGGTCCATGCCAAGCGCTTTTCCAGTGCTGGCTGCTGGGGTCTCGGTGAGGGATAAAAGGCATCTCTACCTTTCAGAATCGTCCTGTTTGGTGGAAGAGACAGGTCTATACTCAAAATCACTTACGCCTTCACTGTGTATTTATTGAGAAATCCGAGCATGGCTGGATCCTAGCACTGGGGCTGGGCAGGCAATTAAGGGTCCATCTTTCAGCATCAGTGAAAAATAGCTCACTCTTTCTTTTCTTCCCAGGTGGGTCTCTTGTCAGCAGTCCCACACATGGTGATGACGATTGTTGTACCTATCGGAGGACAATTGGCTGATTATTTAAGAAGCAGAAAAATTTTGACCACAACAGCTGTCAGAAAAATCATGAACTGCGGAGGTACTGTAGCTTTCATAGCAGCGTTTGTGGAACTGGAGTAAACAGAACGTCAGAGCATATTTTAGAGGGCTGTAGAGTTCTTGGAATGGATATTAAAGCCCATCCCCTGTGTTGCTCATCCCACTGCTACCATGTGGTCCTCCAGCCCAGGCTTGTGCAACCTGAGATAGGACATCTTAGTTGATGGACAATAAATGCGGACACACAACTTGCAGAAACACTGCTTTCACCTACTGCAGTGCCAAAGCAACGTGGTTCCTCTTTATGTTTCTGTTTAAGGTCTATCTTTTCCACATATCCTTCAACACTTATTCCTTGCTTATCTACTTTATTCCCTTTCTGCATGTACATATGTTTTGGTAACAAACAGGAGAGAAGTATTTTCTCTGAATAATCATCTTTCCTCCCAACGTATCCTTATGCCTGGCTTATGTGTATTTGTGTGCATGGGTACACACATGTACATGGGTACACATACACCATCCTCTTTCCTGGTTGATTTATTCCCTGCTTTATGTTTTGATTTTGCAAAGACAACAAAGTTAGGTGATTTCCCACAACAGGTAGGTGAAAGTCATCTTGATCCGTACAATATTCATGGTTGCTCACCTTTTTGAACCCTCTATTTTCTCACCCTTTTTAATTTTATTTTTAAATGAGCATTTATGGAATTCTTTCTATTTCAGACACTAGGAAATTTCCTGGGAGAAAACAGAGGTAAAATAAAGTGACTTGCTTGAGTGGCAGATCCTGGGCAGGATATCAGGTCTGAGCCCATTGCCAATACCCTGAGTCACTCTGGGGCTGTCTCTACAGGGAACTGGGGTCAGCTTGAGCTGGTCGGAGGGAGAGGATTGTGCATCTAGGGGCAACAGGTCACAACTGGGATATTAAATTGAAACAGAGACTAGCTGGGCTCTGACTGCTGAATAGATTGGTTAGGGCCATTCCAAAGCAAAGAGCATATGGAGACACATGGGAGCAGGCCTGAACTGATCCTACAGCATCTTAGGAATAAGGTCTGATCAGTGAGGCATATCAACACCCAGTCTCCCAGCAGCCTGACTGCTGTCCCAGGCAAAGATATTAGAACCTGTTCTCAGCTTCAACTTTTGAGTAGGAGTCTGAAGATTGGCAGATGTAGGCAAGAGGGAATGTACTGGGGCATTGCATTCTGGGACCTCTCCAAGGTAGCTGGGACAGGCGAAATAAGTCCAGTTGACTTGTCAAGAGGAGCTGATGGCTTGAATGGAAGTGGTAGCAATGTAGTTGGAGTGCAATGGACAGAGTTCTAAATTCTCTGGGCCAATTTTCCTCTTCTTTAAAGTCTGAATAATAATATTCAGTTCAGAGCAATATGTAAATACACCTAGCATAGTGTCCAATCTATAGCAAGTCCTTAGTAAATGTTCTTCTGTGTTCATGACAACAGAAAAATAGGTTTTCCAAAGAAGCTATCCAGCAAATATCTGCTATTGTGCTGTATTTCTCTTGGCCAAAAACATACACTTCTAAGCTAGAAACGTGAAAGAAAATTTTGGATTTCAGAACAATGTACCCAATCTCTTGTAAACCCAGATGCCATAAAGATTCTTGAATATATTTTGTGGGAAAGTTCTATTTATATTTATTTGGGCCCCAATACCACTGCTGTTGTTTCTCTATAATTGGTGGAGATAGTGTTGGGTGGTGGTGAAGAGAATTCGCAGATTTTAAAGTGCTTAATAAAGTGACTGTGAAGAAAATTTTGTTTTTCTGTATCAACTAGAATACATGTGTGAAATTTTCCTGGCCCCTCTGCCATCTTTTAAAAATACACTTCACGTGTGTGTTCATGCTGTTTTATATTTTGACATAGTGCCACCAGTGAGTTCTACACTGAAAACTAAGAAACAAAGGCCACAGTTGGCCCATTTTGCTTAGGTACAGAGATGCATTCAGAATAACCAAGACACAGCATCTATCTAGGTGCCCCTCGACAAATGGATGGATAAAGAAAAACGTAATATCTATACACAATGGAATACCATTGAGTCATGAAATAATGCAGTTCTGTCATCTGCAGTATCATGAATGGGACTGGAAGGCAGTACTAGCGAAAGAAGTCAGACACAGGAAGATAAATGTCATACGTTCTCATTTATATACAGAAGCTAAGAAGTTGATCTCAGATGACATAGAGAATAGCAGAGGGGTTATCAGAGGCTGGGAAAGGTGTGGGGAAAGGAGGGATGGAGAGCAGATGGTTAAGTCCAGGGGTGCAGTTGGATGGGAGGAACAACTTCTAATGATATATAGCACACTAGGGTTACTATGGTTGGCAACAATTCATTGAACACTGCATAATAGCTAGTGAAGAGGCATTTGAATGTTCCTAACTCAAAGAAATGATAAATATCTGAGGTATTAGATATGCCATCACCCTGATCTGGTCACTACATACTATATGCATGTATTGAAGTGTCACACTCCACCCCCTTACTAGGTACAATTGCTATGTGTCCATTAAAAGTAAAAACATTAAAACTTAGTGTAGAGATGTAAGACAGGAGGTCACTACATGAAAACAGAGGCTTGTGCCATCACTGAATAATATAGATTTTTTTTTGCTATGATGAAGCACTTGGAACAGTCTTCTAAAAAATTTTAGCTGCTTTCATGTTTCCTAAAAAAGAAATAAGAGACCATTTTTCAACTGAGAAGGATCATATCCCTTGCAGCCTGTCACATCTTTCTCTTTGTCTCATAGACAAGGAATATGTTACAATCATTTAAAACAAACATCACCTGTAGGCATAATGTTCTGTTCTAGGCCATTCTGAATCCTGGCACATTTCCAAGGTTCTCAGACAAGTGTCAAATTCTCATACTTCCCTCTACAGACCATGTAAAATGTGATTGAAGTAAAAAAATCCAGCCTGCCTCAGTTGCCTGTGTGAACTTCAGTCTGTCTCAATAGGAAATGAAACTTTTCTTAGGCTTTAAAGTTCTAGTGCCATTTCTCTTGTGAATTCCGAATAGCTTCGTGTTCACGGATCTCTGGATTACTTCCGAAGTTTGAATTTTAACCTTAAGCCTCTGAAACATAAAGTCCTATCTGTAGTGTTTTAACCAATAGCATGAGCCATTTAGACTCTTATATGCTTTTTTTTTTTTTTAAGATTTTTTTATTTATTTGAGAGGCAGAGCTAGAGAGGGGGAGAGAGAGAGAGAGGACTTCCATCCACTGGTTCATTGCCCAAATGGTCACAATGGCTGGAGCTTTACCAGTCCGAAGCCAGGAGCCAGGAGCTTCTTCTATGTCTCCCATGTGAATGCAGGGGCGTGAGCACTTGGGCCATCTTCCACTGCTGTGCCAGGCCATAAGCAGAGGGCTGGATCAGAAGAAGAGCAGCCAGGACTTGAAATGGTGCCCATAAGGGATGCTGGTGCTGCAGGCGGAGGCTTAGCCTACTATGCCACAGCATCAACCCCTCTTACTGCTTTTCCTTCTTTTGGAAATTTGGCTAAGATCACATTTTTTTCCTTATCAGTGAACCAATGTAACATTTGTAAGTTTCATTCTTCACACATTGTCCACATTCTAATTCTTCACAAGAGTTAACTTTCTGGCACAACCTTTGTTGAAAGTGGCAAAATGAAAGAGGTTCACCCAGATGATTTGTTGTTTAAGATAGGCCACTTCAAAAAAAACACATGTAGTTAGGACACAAAACACCTAGCAGTTTTGCCCTATGTATGATTTAAAATGTTGTTAAAAAATACAAACATATAGCAACTGTGCACAACACGGAAGCCATTGTTGCTCTCTTAATGTCTTATGACCCTCTTTAGGTGTCCCTCTAAAACAGCTATTAATGCTTGCTCTTCTCTGTGGCAGTTTTGAAGAAATGGGCTCAGAAAGGTGGTAACATAACCAAGGTCTAGAGTAGTGCGTTAGTTTGTATTTTAGTCTCAATCAATCTTGATCACATGTTCTTTTCTTGATACTCATTCATTAAATATTAGTTAGTGGAATGCCCATTACATGGTAGCCACACTCTGTCAAAGATACATCTTTTGTGTGTGTGTGAGGCAGAGGCACAAATGAAAAATTACAAAGCCATACGGAAAAGCTTCATAAAATAAGAAGGAGATGTCAGCATCACTGAGTGAGGGTGGGGGAGAGTTGGCAGGGAAACTTCACAGAGGGAGCTGTATTTGACTGGAATTTAAAGGAAGTAAGGCTGGCATAGTGGTGCAGTGGGTTAAGCCAGCGCCTGCAATGCTGGTGCCCCATATCAGTGCCAGTTTGATTCCCAGATGCTCTGCTTCCGATCTAGCTCCCTGCTAATGCACCTGGGAAGGCAGCAGAAGGTAGCCCAAATACTTGGGCCCCTGCCACCCATGCGGGAGACCCAGATGGAGTTCCAGGTTTGGCTGGCACAGCTTTGCCCATAGGGGCCATTTGGGGAGTGAACCAACAGTCAGAATACCTCTCTCTCCCTGTTTTTCCCTTTCCCTCTGTCACTCTACCTTTCAAATAAATAGAATAAACCTTTAAAAAAGACGAAAAGACAAAGTACAATTTCTCTAGGAAAAGGGAAGATGGAGAGAAGTATATCTTTGATGAAAATCCACACAGGCACTAGACAATGTTGTATGACTAGGAAACAGCTACTGGAGCTGTAAGAGGAAGCTTGAAAACCCATGTGGAAAAATGGCAGTAAAATATAAGCTTATTTTGATGCAAAGTTTTTTTTGAAATCCATGCATATTTGTTCATAATATACATTTTCCATGAACTTTTTGAAGACCTCCCTCTCCCCGTCTGTCCAGCACAAAGAGAGGGCTAAATATGGCATGGGGATGGGGGAAAGAGAGGAGAGGGCTGGCCAGAGATAAAGTGGGAACAGGAAGAGGGATTTACTGTGTAACGCAAGACCCCTGCTGTGGAAGCCTGACAGAACTGCTAAGCAAAGGCGTGGCTGAGCAGGCACGTGGTTCAGAAAGGCAGCGGAGCGGTGTGTGGATCAGGGGAGGGTGGGAAGACCACTCAGGAGCCTCCTGTTGTTCAGGTGAGCAGTGGTGGGCCCCCGAAATAAGGCACAGGCAGAGGAGGGTGACATGGGTCAGATTTGATGAAATTTCTGAAGCCAAACCCTCAAATTTTTATGTGAAAGCTGAGGGAGAAAGAGCCATCGAGACAATTCTGAGGTCCGTGCCCTGGACTTGGGGCCACCACTTGCTGAGCTGCGCTCATGTGCCACATTTCCTTTCTTATCCATCCAGCTTCATTTCATCCCCCAGGGTCCTACAGAGTCATTCATATGATTGCAGTTTTGCATGAGGAATGTAAGCGGTGAAGAAACTTGTCCAAGGTCACATGCTTAGTGATTTTGAGGTAGACTCTGGTTCCAGGCCCATCTGACTTTGTAGGCTGACTTCTAAAAATAGATGGTAGAAGATTATTATCTTGGAGAAGACGGGGCTTGTTTAGAGTGTTCTGCTTTGTTTAGCAGCAAAAATTAGGAGAACAGAGACTTGACTGTTGTGTTCCCTTTAAAGTAACTGTAGGGCAGTGGCGCAGTCTAGAGTCAGCAGTGTCCAGAGTGAAGCAGCACTAATTGTACCTCCTCCCAGGGCACTCTGTACACTTGCACATGGTATTTATGTCATCTTCCTGTCTGCTGGTGGCTGCACTTTTTTAGTGAGAAGGAGCTTATTCATAATCTCCCCATTGTTTTTTTATTGTGTCAGACTCACCTATTGTTTTTTTTTTATTTTTATTATTTTTTTATTTTTTGACAGGCAGAGTGGACAGTGAGAGAGAGAGACAGAGAGAAAGGTCTTCCTTTGCCGTTGGTTCACCCTCCAATGGCCGCCGCGGCCGGCGTGCTGCGGCCAGTGCACCGCACCGATCCGATGGCAGGAGCCAGGAGCCAGGAGCCAGGTGCTTTTCCTGGTCTCCCATGGGGTGCAGGGCCCAAGCACCCGGGCCATCCTCCACTGCACTCCCTGGCCACAGCAGAGAGCTGGCCTGGAAGAGGGGCAACCGGGACAGAATCCGGTGCCCCGACCGGGACTAGAACCGAGGGTGCCAGCGCCGCAAGGCGGAGGATTAGCCTAGTGAGCCGCGGCGCCGGCCGCAGACTCACTTATTGTAAATGAAAGGGACAGAAAGTACTTTTGTACTGTTGGACAAGTATCTTCTATGAAAATATTTATTTATTTTTATTAAAGATGCCCGAGAGCTTTGATGAATTTCTGAAAGAATGTTGCCTTATGCTTTACAAGGAGTGAGACTTTACATTTGGTTTCAGATATTCTTTTAAAATTTCATTTATTTACTTATTTTTCCATTTTATTTGAAAGGCAATCACACACACATACAAGGAGAGAAAGAAATCTTCCACTTCCTGGTTTACTCCCCAAATACAACATGCAAGCCTCAGGCACGCTACAGCTAGGAGCCAGAAATTCCATCAGGTTTCCCATGTGGGTGGCAGGGGCCCAGGCACATGAGCCATCATCTGCTGCCTCCCAGGTTATTAGCAGGGAACTGGATGGGAAGTGGAGTAGCCAAGTCTTGAACCAGGCATTCCAATATGGGATACAAATCTTTTAAGCAGAGATTTAAGCCACTGTACCATTGGCAGTATATAGGAGAATTTTCTTATTTAGAAATGGCAGGGGCAACTAGGCCTGAAGCATTGGAACTTACTCGGACAATTTAGTATTCAAGGTTTACCAGGAAAATGTTAGAACGTTCACATAACACCCAGATAATATTAGCATAGTCACAGTACTGAAACACCCAAGTCATGTTGTAAGCCCTGTGTCAGAATGTATATACTAAAAACTCAGTTCCATGGGAATACAGATTAATTCTTATTTAATAAATTCACAAACTTGGACTGACATGAAAGTGACATTTCCCCCTGCTGTTTTCATTTGCAGGCTTTGGCATGGAGGCGACCTTACTCCTGGTGGTTGGCTTTTCCCACACCAAGGGGGTGGCTATCTCCTTTCTGGTGCTTGCTGTAGGATTTAGTGGCTTTGCTATTTCAGGTAAAGTGCCTTTGGGCTTCCAGGTCTTGTCTGTTGATTGAGCGAGTCTTGCAAGGAAGTCAGGACAGGGATGTGTGGCACCTTTCTTCAGGAGCCCAGTCAGTCCTGAGCTGCAGGGCCACTGCTCAGAGAATTCCATCTGGTGAGGGTAACTTTGTAGGATCACCCAGGACTGGGTTTAGGAGTCCATTCAATCTGGAATTGGGTTGTCCCTACTTTCTCTGTCATGGGAAAAGACACAAAGGCAGGTGAGCCCCTGAGGCACCAGCAGGGATCCGGGCATGTGGCTGCACCAGGTCACCCTACCTAGCAGAGGCTCTTGTGACCTTTTCAGTCCTCACCCCTGCCAGCAAACTGCTACTGCTAGCTCACATGACCATGTCATTTGACACAGAGTCATAGGATCAGAAGTTGCTCAGAGTAGAAATCTTCAGATTTTGTCTACTGTGTCGGCCTCATTTTCCAGACAAGAAAATGAAGGTTCAGAGAGGCACCATGCCTTTCTGAACAGGACAGATCAGGTAGGAATAAAAACAGTAGTGATGTAAGCCACAAGGACCAAGCCCAGACTCAGTGCTGGGCACTTTTCAAAGCCCTGTGTGTGTACTGAGCTCCGTCTCCTTGACAGCTCTCCTAGGGAGTATCACTGCTATCAAAATCCTCATTTTACAGAGCAGGAACTGGCCTACTTTATGGGAGAGGACAGAGGGAAGTCATATCACACAGACCCCAGTGACTCCCTGGGCACAACTGGATGAAAAAGAAAAATCCAGTTGTGCTTCTATCTCTAGAACATTGTAAAAACCAAAATTGTCACTTACAGAAGAGCTTACATAAAGCACATGTATCTGACAGCATTGCGAAGCAAGTAGTAGATGTTACTTAGTAGTTGGTGGCAAAGCAAAGACAAAGCACAGTTCAGCCTGGCTCCAAGCTTATGTTCTTTCCATTGGTTTAGACTACCTTAAATATCCAACAGAGTAGTAATGTCCCAGAACAGAGAGTGTGGAAATTCTTTCCTAGATCACCCTAAAGTAGGGGCATGATATGTCTATTAAAATAAATAGTGCTGGTGCATAGTTAAACTAGAAAAAAGAATCTACTTTCAAAGTAGGTTACAGATAAGAATTTGGATTTGGAGGTGTGTAGACCTGGTTAGAGGCTGCTCTTTATTACTATGAAAGCAAAATTGCTTAATTATTTAAATTCTCACATCTCAGTTATCTCATTCAGATATTGAACAGCTGTAAGAGTAACCTCATAGGGTGGTTGAGGACACGCTGCGATCATTATGCCTTTACTCATACTTCTTGTGAGGTAGGCACTGTTCTTGACTGATACTACTACAATGAACAAATCAAAGATTCAGATAAAGTTTACATTCTGGTGGAAATAAAGCACTTAAAGCCTTCAGCACAGTATCAGATGCATAACAAAGTTGTTACGCATTTACTGATATTATTGCTCTGTGATGCGCTTTGGCCCAGTGCCTCTCAAGCTTTAATGTGCTTGGAAATCACCCTGCAGTCTTGCAGAATACAGTTTGCTTTAGCTCTGAGGTGATGCTTATTGGCTACCCACACTTTGAGTAGCAAGGAGAGAGCAATTATGACTTGCTTCCAGAAGGATACTTTCCCTTGATAACTGTGTGATGCAAAAGCGATTCATATCCTGCCTCCAGAGATAATGAAATGCTCAGGGTCAGATGTCTTCCTTTCCCCTAGATTGCCAATTGAGTCACCATCACTGGGAGAGATGCCCAGTACCCCAATTGCAGCAGCTGTTTGTTTTTTTTTTTAATTAAAGGCACTTATTCCATGCTTATCATTTTTAAGATGCGGTATCATTTATTCCTTGTCAGAAGCTTAGGAGAAGGGCGCTGCTATATGAGTTTTACTGTGTAGAAATAGAGAAAGATGACTTGGCCAAGTAAATCAAATGGATTGGATTGGACTAAAAGTCTGTCTGACCCATTAATGACACTATGGGTGGGACTGTGGCCATGGGAGTGATAATTCCTCAGGACTTCCTGTCTGTCAGCATTCTCAGGAATATGTAAGAATACTAGAGAAGACTGATGCAAGGTAGAAGCTGACTGTAGATAAGAGGCTTAGCACAGGTGAGGTTAGAAAGATGCAAGGGATGAGAGGTGTCTGCTTTGGAAAATGTCCTGTGTACAGAAGGCAGACCCTCCCAGTCTGTGTACAACGATTTCTCATCTGTTACAAAAATCTATCAGTTTTTTGGAAATTCCCCCCACCCCTGGAATGCCAGAATTATGAAGTTAGAAACAAAATGGCAATTCTCACATTATCTTTAGCTGAAGCAGATGCCTAGGCTTTGTACAAGGATATAATACTTGACAATCATATTAATTTCTTCTTATCTCTGGGTTCTTTTCTAATAAAGTGTTTATCTCATTCAAATCAACAGTAAAATTAATTTATCTTGCAGCTGCTTTATGTTCTGATTGTCTGGCACTTTGATTTGAAAGAGAAGGTATGTTTATTAGAAAATTTTTTTCTCCCTGAATGGAAGTAAGAAATATAACCATCTAGTATGCCAGATTAGAAAAAAAAATTAAATCCTATTTTCATGTCCTTGCATAGAACAAAGGGAAGCATAATATGAGTGAACAGAATTTATAACCCTGTGCTATAATTAAACAACTATTTTTTAAAGATTTATTTACTTACTTGAAAATCAAGAGTTACACAGAGAGAGAAGGAGAGGCAGAGAGAGAGAGTGAGAGGTCTTCCACCCGCTGGTTCACTCTCCAATTGGCCGCAATGGCAGGAGCTGCATTGTTCCGAAGCCAGGAGCCAGGAGCTTCTTCCAGGTCTCCCATGCAGGTGCAGGGGTCCAAGGACTCGGGGCATTCTCTACCACTTTCCCAGGCCATAGGAAAGAGCTGGATTGGAAGTGGAGCAGCTGGGACTTGAACCAGCGCCCATATGGGATGCCGGCACTGCAGGCGACAGTTTTACCTGCTAAACCACAGCCCCAGCCCCTTAACTATTGAGCAACTACTATATGCCAGACACTTTGCTGGTTAAGACAGTGGTAAGCAAGATAAGATGATAGCTACCTGTAAAGAGTTTATACATTGACTTTCATCTCCATGTTCCACACAATTATTTAACTTGATTTTTATAACAGTTTTCCAAGAATTACCCCAGTTTATAGATAAGAAACTGAGGTTCAGAAAGTTTAGATCAGAGTCCAGATTTGCATCTCAATTAAGCTGCCAGAGCTGAGGTCGCTCTGACACTAAAATGCACCCATGGGTAACATTGGCAAAATTGCTCTCCAGGGCCTTCATCTTTCTCTTTCACAGCCTCGTCCATGCCTGACCTTCACTCCTCTCCCATGTTCCACATGTCCTTCTCCTGATGAATGGATTCAGTGAGCTCTTTGTGACTTATTGTCTTTGTCAATTTGCCACTTTTGAAAGTGGCAAGAGATAGTAAGAGTAGAATAAATGGTAGGAGTGGTGGTAGTTAGTAGTGATAGTGATTAGTAGTGGTGGTAGTTACTAGAGCTTAGCTATTTGCCAAGGTATCCCACACACCTATTTTCCCAGAGTCTCAAATCACAGTACATTTATGAGTTAAGCAGTAATATTATTCCCACTTTAGAGAGTGAGAGACAACAAAGACCAAAACATTGACTTGTCTATCTAGTGGAGGTGAGATTCAGGTCCAAATTTATAATCTTCAAATCAACCAGGTATATGAATGAAAGTGGTTGTAAATTATAGAGGATCTGCCAGTGTTTGTGAAATGTTCATTATTAAAACACCCTTTCCATCATGTTGTGTGACCACCAAAGCAGGTCTGTTTATGACAGCCCTTCTTTAAGGAATTGAGGGCTTGGAGGGGGGATATTATGAGGCAGGGTTTGGTTGTGATTACAGTTTTGTGTGATTGTTTACTCTGAATAAATATGACCAGGCTTTTGGCTTTTCAGTATTCCCAAACACCATCATTTGGAGTGCCAAATTTACAAGGCACAGGTGCCATAATTCTCCCCATAAAGAACCCATAGTGGATATTGCTAGATAATCTTAAGACCTTTTCCTACTTGTGCAGATACAAAGCATTGATCTTCAACCCAGTCATCTTGGTAGAGTTACCATTAGTCATATACTAGAAGAAACCAAATAAATTAATGAGAGCTAAATATTTTCCAAAGTGTGTTTGAAATTCTATTCTTTGCTCTGATGTTGAGGTTTTGGCTTCCCTGTAGGTTTTAATGTCAACCACCTGGACATTGCCCCCCGCTATGCCAGCATTCTTATGGGTATCTCAAATGGAGTAGGGACCCTGTCTGGAATGGTCTGTCCCCTCATTGTTGGTGCGATGACCAAGCACAAGGTAATGATTTCCTATGTGGCTATGGGTACATTTTCAGGAGATTGAAGCATTACACAAACTTGAGATCTTAAGACCCTACCCCAGCCCTTAAATGTGTGTGTCCTTGACCTTGACTAGGTCACATGAACTATTTTCCTCCCCTTCTTCCCTCTCTCCCTTCCTTTTTTCTTCCTCCCTTTCTTCTCTTCCTTCTGTTTTTTCAGTCATTGCTCATTGATGGAACCGGAGCTAATTGGTTGGTTGTTCCACATTTTCTCAACTGAGACATGAAAGTTCAGGGGAGAGAGGTGAAGGCTCTGTGTTGAGACACAAAGAAGAAGCTGAGGCAGTCAACTCAGGATCAATGAATTACTAAAGATTGTTTTATAATTTCAAGTGATTAATTTTATAGCCTATTTCATCTATTGCTTAGTATATTCTAGCATAAAAATATTACTGCTGTTATACTTCCTTGTTAAGAAGAAAGCAAAGCATTAATGACCCTGTCTAAGAACACACAAGGGAGTGGTGCTCAATCTTCACTGCACCTTTGTGTATTTAGACTAGGGTGGGTGGAAGAGGAGGATCCCGTGATCCATCGAGTTCAAGTACAGGCCACAAGCTTCCTTTATCACTGTCACTGACAAAATTTCAGGATGTTGGTTTCTGCAAATAAAAGTTTTTGAACACCATAGATTTTTTTCCCCCAACCATTTTCTTAGATGAATTTTCTTTTATAAATATAGCTTTAGAAATTATTCTGGCTTCTTAGGAAAGAAAGCACTAAGTAATATTTCTTACTTTCTGACAGAAAAGGAAGATGGGATTTAGGGATTCTACAGAAAGGAGACTCATTTTTTTTCATTTTGTTCATGAGATAATACGGCTGGTAACACGCCTATTAAATCCAGCCTTACCTTTGGGGTGGGCATGTGCCTTTGTCCTAGTGGAAGCCTCCAGAACATATTGTTATTCACTGGTTTTTGTGAAAACGTTACCTGACACTTTGTTTTCTTGTTTAGACTCGTGAGGAATGGCAGAACGTGTTCCTCATAGCTGCCCTGGTGCACTACAGTGGTGTCATCTTCTATGGAGTCTTTGCTTCTGGGGAGAAACAGGAGTGGGCTGACCCTGAGAATCTCTCTGAGGAGAAATGTGGGATCATCGACCAAGATGAATTAGCTGAGGAGACAGAACTCAACCACGAGACTTTTGTGAGTCCTGGAAAGAAGACATCCTATGGAGCCACCACCCAGAATTGTGAAATTCAGAGGAAGGAATGGAGGGGTCAGAGAGGAGTGACCCTTGATGAAGAAGAGTTGACCTCCTACCAGAACGAAGGACGAGACTTCTCAGATACATCCTAATGTCGGAGGGACACTTCCACCTTGTGCTCACCTTAGGACCAGAAAGTATCCATGCCTATTGCCTTCCCCTTAGCTGCTCTTGCCAGAGTATGGGCACACTGGAGGTAGGAGGGTGAGGGGACGAGGTCGAATCAACAATAGAGCAGAATGTCATCTTGTAATGATACTCATGGGGGTGGAGCTTGTGTTCAGTTGGTAAAATAGCTGATTACATTTTTTTTGGACTTGTAATTGATTCATCTCCCAAAGAAGAAAACTTGTTCAGAAAGAGTAAGGAAGAAAATACTATGTTGATCAAAGAGACACTGAAGGAAGTGGGAATATTTGTCCTGCAGGAGAGTAAACAATATTTGCTATCCCATCGTAACTGTAGAGGTATAGAGGGGGCTCCCTATTCCTAAAAACTCTGCTGCTCTTGGAGGCCCTGTGTTGTGCCAGGTGCTTTATAAACATTATTATTTGATCTCCATTACCCTATGACATCTATTTCTTATCCCTATTTTACAACTAAGGGAACTAAACCAATAAGAGATTAACTTGTCTAGGGTTATTGCACCAGGGCCAATGCTGTAGCCCCAGAAAAAAAGTAGTTTTAGAGATGAAGATTTCAGCTCAGTAGGAAAGATAATTTTAATAAAGAAAATTGAAACTGAAATGAGTTGTCTTGTGGATAATCTTCTATTTTTGTCAGGTATAGAGGATGAAAAAAATGAGATTGATATGGAGAAGATTATTATTTAAACATTGTCTAGAGGGCTGGACTCAAAGACCTCTAGGGTCTTAAGCATTATCTGAAAAGTCACATGATTTCATGAGTTCATAGTTTTTTTTAGATAATAAGAGTCATTATCTTATTCGAATTGGTTTAAAAATGTGAAACAAGATAGCCAAATTTCTTGAAATCTGATGATCAGAATGGCAGAAAAGAAGTAAACAAGGAATTAGCTACTAAATTTCAACTCTCTATAGTTAGTCAACAATGTTAAGGTTAATTATCATCCCAAATTACTCATAATTACTCATAGCAATGACATTTAATAATTTAAGAAGTAGGTTCTTGTGTTTCATTAGGTAAAATTTTCAAGTTTTCTGTTAAAACATGTCTGCTCTTTCTGCTGATGATTATACTAGAAATTATGATCAAATTATTCAAAACTATGACTGAGGTATTCTTAATGACTCTATTTGGGATGATATTCAGGGAAGTTGCAATAATACAGCAATAGTTTTGTAGAGAAATATTAGAAAGGAAATATCTGGGACAACTAGATCCATTGCACTGGAAAATTCATCTTTGTAAAGGCAATAATATGGATACTCTCTAGAAATATTTCAAAATATAATGTTGGCATGTAAAATATTATTTGAAAATAAAGTTATTTTCTTGTTAATTTGTTTTAAAATTTTTATTTCTACATTTAAAAGAAAAATTAAATATTGTAGAAAAATTATAAACTTATAGTTTTATCATTGTAAAGTGCTTTTTCTAATTTCTTCCATTTATATGTTTCTGGTACCTGTTGTGACAGTGAAGTTGTGGCATATTTTATAAAAAGGATAATCTTAAGAAAAAAGAATTTCTTGACTATGAAACAATATTTGGCATATAATTTATATCATAAGACATCTTTAGGTCTCTTTAATGAATGAATCCATGTAAGTCCCTTAGAATAGTTTCTGGCATGTAGAAAGTGTTCATTAATAGCTCATAATCAATATATTTGAACAATTTGGGGGCATTTTTCAGTTTAAAAGAAAGCATGCTATGCCTTTTCCATCCATTAGCTACAGAATTTACTGTGAAAGTCGTGCTGTTTTCTAAGTAAAAAAAAAAAAAAGAAGTTCACGTTGGCTGGCTGTATTTTATTTTTGTTGTGTTAATAAAGTCAAATAACAGTATTTAAAAACTCCATGATAATCTTTAAGGTAATTTTATTTTGTTACACAAAGTTGTATTTATTACACATTTAATGTTGATATGATTTGTAGAAATTTTGCCTGTTACTTTTCCTTATTGTATTTTTTACAAATAGAGCCCAGGATCATGGTGCTGAGAGCTAGAAGACATTTATTTCTTGTGATGGATTGTTCTCTCTATAGGTTGCATTAGACAGATAATTACAGCTGAACATAAGACAGATGCAGTGCACAAGTCATTGTACATTTTGCTGCAAATGTCCGTGTGAAGAGCAACTGTTGGAGGCAAAGCACGGTTTCTGGTAGGAAGGGAAAGAGGCCTGAGGATGCTGGATTCTTAAGAAAGATCTGATGGTAAACAATGAAAATTTTGGAGAGACTCCTGAATAGGACAACAATATTAATTATTATTCAAGAAATAATGATTCATTTTTTGCCCCTGCATGAATGTTAAATTTATGAGGTTAAAAGTGGAATGTACTGCTTCTATTTCACACTCCCTCCTTGCAACCCCAACAAATCTGGTCTTCCCTTTCTGTTTCTTACCTCAGTTACTCACATCACCCTTTTGCTCAAGCTATAACTTGTGGATATCTTTGGCTTAAAATTTCCTTCTTTTTTTTCCAGGCCAAATTAATTTAATTTAGTTTCAAATATGTAGATCCATGACTCACATCAACTTTGGAAAAATTCTCAGCCTTACTTCCTAAGATATTTGACCGCATTCTCTCTCTACTCTGTTTCTAGGGGTCCAGTTAAATGAATGATACATTCGCGTATGAAGATCTCTGACCATGTCTTTTGCATTTTTCAACTCTTAACATTTTATGTATAATTATAGTTACTGTCATCTGACTTTTTTTATTTATTTCTATGATGGAAATCCAACCACTGTACTCTCAATTTCAATTACTGTTTTTCCAGTTCTATATGTTTTAATGGTTCTTTTTTATTCCTGCTATATCCTTAAAAATATTTACAGTTCTCCCATGACATTTCAATCCTGTGTTTTATTTCCTGGAACATAGTAAGTTAGTTGTTTCAAAGTTTGATCAGTGCCAGTAGCTGTAGATCATGTGATTCTATTTCTATCTTCTGTTGGTTTTGTTGGTTCTTATTCATATTCTCTTATTTGGGTCTGTGGTAGGTTTCCTTTATTGTCTCTAGAAATAATTCTAGGATCAAAATAATGCTCTTTTCTTTATTTCTCCAGGGAGGTTTTTGTGTGCCTCTCCAGGAACCAAAGGACAAGAGCAATCTGGGATTATCTGAGCCCAGGTGCAGGGCCAGGGTATTCTGGACCACCAGATGGCTTGAGGCTGGGCTCCAGGCTGTATGAAGATCCTTTTACTTCCAGGTTCCCCTTACTGCTAGAGTGCAGCACTTCAGGATCCCAACCCACACGACTACGATTTTACTACAGATTTTTTCCCTGTACCAGGCCATAAGACATACTGCTCACCCACTAAACACTGAATTTGTCAGGGTTAACAGATGCTCCCAGGAGAAAAGTGACCCCAGTTGTCAAGCTCATGTCTCTAGGTTTTCATCTTCTCTCGGATGGTCAGCAGGTAGCCTGCAATTTTTCACTACCATATTGGCTTTCCAACGCTTTTGAGCGGAATTTTCTTTAAAAATGTCTTGTTCAACTTTCTTAGTGGGAAGTTTGGTCTGAATTACCTAGTCTACCTTAATGGATACTGAAATATTTTTATTCCATCTTTACAATTTCTCCTAAACTTATCTATTTCATAACGTGCTAACACCTAAATGCCAAATCCTTATAAATTTGGTTAAGTACAGCAAATGTTTAGTTATCTCTTTGAAATCGGAAAAGACCCCCTAAAATTTACCCTGAAATGTGGCCCCTTAAAGTTCCCTAGAAATGCTATCCGGGGTGCCACATGCGCTACCGGAATTTGGGGTGGCTTACGATTTCACCACGGGCTTATTACTAAATCCCTAATATTAGTAAGCCTGAGAGGGTTCTTGCCTAATATTTAGAGAAGAATTCTAAATACCAGCACAGATAAACGAGGCAGCATGGTACGTTTTAAGCTTTTATTTAGTAAAAAAAGTGCATAAGAGAGTGAGAGCTTTATTTAGGGGAGAGAGGTGAATAGGGGTTCATACCAAGCACCAGGAACCAGCCACATGGATGAGTATCTAGGCCAGGAAGCTTAGAGCACATGGCCTTCAGGAGGGGCAGGGCTACTGCAAGCCCTGTCCTGACAAGAGGCCAGGGAAGAAGAGCAGCGCAAAAGCCCCGAGCACACTGTGCCCCAGGCTTTTAACCCACTCCAAAGGGGAGTGGTTAATTAACCTGATTGGCTGGTGGGCACCCTGGAGTGGCCAGGTAGGGGAGTGAGGCCACACAGGGGCGTGGCAAAAGCATCAGGTAGGAGCATGAGGTCACGCAGGGGCGTGGTCTTCCAGTTCACAAATCTGACCAATTTTAACCTGTATGCCTGCCTACTTCATTCCCCCCTCAGAGACTCCAGACCTTAATCTTAAGGGGATGTTGATGGGCGTCGAGTCACCATCTTCTGTAGCTACTTCCTGCTGAATGCGGGCGCAGACCCTGCCTGTTCTCGGTCTGGAAGTCTCTGCCTATCTCATCTAATGAGTTCACTTCATGAGCTGGATCTCTTTCAGTCTCCGGCATTCTCAGTGTCTCCTGCATGGTCATCATTATTCTCAGAAGCTGCTGGGTTCTACTGGGTTCTTTTAGATATAAATGAAGGTCCATTGTCACTCTGGAGTGACCGTGGGAGTCCAAAGCGTGGCACGATGTCTTTCAACAAGGCTTTAAACACCTCGTGTGCTTTCTCCGTTCGGGTCAAAAAGGCCTCTATCCATCCTGTAAAAGTAACAAAGACTAGAAGGTACCTACAATTGCTTGTAGGGAGCATATTGGTAAAATCAACCTGCCAATCTTCAGCTATTTATGTTCCCCTCCATTGCACAGGAGTCAACAGGGGAGGTGGCCTTACATGGTGAGGGTTATTCTGTAAACATAGAGGCCAAGAGCGAGTCATTTCCTTTATGACCATATTTGGTCCCTTTCCTCCAAAAGCTCGGGAGACCAGCTGTACTAAGGCATGTCTTCCCAAGTGGGTAGTGCTGTGTAATTTTCCATTAAGTGGCCATTGGTAGCATAATTCTGTGATTTAGCATCCACTATCCATTTGCTTTTTAGTATAGCCTCGCTGTTGAGCCCATTCATTTTCAGGCTCCATATAGTGAGATTCCTTAGCTACTTCCACAGATTGATGTATAAGGGCCATTTCCAAACTTTCCTGTGTAGCTGCTCTATCTGCTAACGCATTTCCCTGGTTAATATAATTATCTCCCTTCTGATATCCCTTGCAGTGGATGACGGCCACTTCTAAAGGCTCCAGTACTGCCTGAAGTAGAGGCAGTATCTCTTTTCCATATTTAACAGGGTAACTCTTTACAGTCACTAAGCCCCTCTCTTTCCAGATTGCTGTGTGTGCATGCAACACAAGGAAAGCATATCTGGAATCTATCTATCTATCTATCTATCTATCTATCTATCTATCTATCTGCATATAATATCTATCTATCTATCTATCTATCTATCTATCTATCTATATATATATAAACTCACTGGCCTTTTCCCAGTTGTAAAGCCCTAGTCAATGCAATAAGCTCTGTCTTTTGGGCTAAAGTATTGTGTGGTAATGCTTGGGCTTCTATCGTCTGCCTTTTTAACTCCTTCCTTCAGATAGCTGCTGCCATCAGTAAACCATTCAGCATCTGGATTTTCCAGGGGCTCATCTCGAAGGTCTGGCCTACTAGGGTACATCTGCCTAATTCATCTTCTGTTAAAAATTCAGTGTGGATTAGGTCGAAGTGGCATGCAGGCTTGTTTCGGATAGTCACTCAAGTGTCAGGATTTATTTTTCTCCACTCACTATCTTTTTTTTTTTTTTTTTTTTGACAGGCAGAGTTAGACAGTGAGAGAGAGAGAGACAGAGAGAAAGGTCTTCCATCCATTGGTCCACCCCCCAAATGGCCGCTACACCAATTCGAAGCCAGGAGCCAGGTGCTTCCTCCTGGTCTCCCATGTGTGCAGGGCCCAAGCACTTGGGCCATCCTCCACTGCACTCCCGGGCCACAGCAGAGAGCTGGACTGGAAGAGGAGCAACCGGGACAGAATCCAGTGCCCCAACCGGGACTAGAACCGAGGGTGCCAGCGCCGCAAGGCAGAGGATTAGCCTAGTGAGCTGCGGTGCTGGCCATCCACTCACTATCTTGAAGTTTGCTATTTAGAATATATAAACTCTGACAGCACCATGAAAGGGTAACAGAGAAGGAAGTCTCTGTGTTTTCATTGCCTCACTTAATTGTTTGTAGTCTCAGGCCCTGGATCTACACTAACCACATAGCCCCAACAAAACCTCAAGGGTGGCTAGAGAATAAAGGGGAGTTTGTGTATCACCAGCTAAGCACTGATGATACCCGCCAGCCAGCTCTCTCCTTCATGTAGGGTCTTAAGAACTCTCACTTAGCATGCTAAGATAGTCTCCTAAGCTCAGTGTCATAAATGATGTGACCCAGGTATGTGGCATCTGGGAGAGCTGAGGTTTGTTGTAGGGAGCAAATATCTATATGGGAAGGTTTCATTTCAGGTAGAGGAAAAAACAAGAACAAAGTAGGGACATGCTTGTCATATTGAAAGAACACCAGCTCCCATAAAGTGGTCAGGTTCTGGACATGGTTTGAAAGAAGAAAGATCTGTGGAGAGGCTGAAGTGTGCAGGTGGGGGATGGAATCAGGAATTTTGGATTTGTCTGGGTATTCTACTTGCCTGTTGATATCTAAGTGATGGTGTTGCTGGGCAGTGGTTTTCAGTCAACTGGAGTTGCCCATTTGTGAGCCATGCACACATCACATAGTTGGTATTTAAAGCCATGAGACCAGATGAGATCATCAAGATTTCAGTGTAGAGAAAAGGACTGCTCTCTGAGGGCCCTCAGGAAGAGGGAGGTGGAGGAAGGGTGGGGAGACCCAGAGAGAGAGAGGCGTCCTGTGGCTAAGTGCAGCCAGCATGGCACAGAGGGGACATGATCGCCTGTGTCCAAGCTTCCGCTGGTTTAAATATGACGAGGACGGAGAGTGGACCATTGGATTCAGCAACAGGGAGATCTTGTCGACCTTGGTCAGAGTAGTGTCAATGTAACTATAACCACAGAACCCTGAATGGACTGTGCTCAGGGATGGGAGTGTCTTCTCACCTAGGCACAAATTGCAGGGATCTCCAGACAGTTCAGCAAAATTTCCATCACAAAAGGCAGAGCCGCACACAAACAGGAAGAAAGGTATTTGCAGGAGGCCAGGCACCACAGGGAAGAGAATGAACTTTAATTTAGAAGAGGAGATAGTGCATACACTATAACAATAGAGTTCTCCTTTGGTAAAGGGAAGAATTGTCCCCAGGAGAAAATGGGGCTAGATGGAGAGATTTTTGAATCTGAGAGGTCAGTTAGGAGTCTCTCGTGATAATTTACAAATGAGGGCCTGGACCAGGATTCAGGGGCGATGGAAAGGGAAAGAAGTGATAGTTACAGAAATCTTTAAAACAATCTTTTTCTAGAAAAATAATATATTCTCCTTGTAGAAAAATTTCAAAATACAAAAAATTCAATGAAGAGAATGAAAACTCCCCTATTTTTGCAGCAGATTTAATTACTCTTAACATTCAAGCATATATGCCTCCAGTCTTTACATATATGTATTTTTAATAAATTTTGGATAATATGTATATGCAGTTTTTTATATCCTTTTGCACTTTCTAATATACAATAATACGATAAATTTCTATGTTTTTAAATATTCTCCAGAATTATAATTTTAAAAATTCACTGAGATAA